ATTAATGTGGGGTTTCTCTTTTTTTTTTTTTTTTTTTCCCTAAACCCTTGTCCCTCCCACGTGACCGTGTGCTGGATTTGCTGTCAGAACAAGACCTCAGAGGGGCTGCAGGCCCCAAGGGCTGAGGGGTCCCCGGGACCCAGGTGTGCAATTGCCGTTGCAGCATGCACTCCTTGCTAGCGCAGGGAGGTAAGAAACCTTCAGGCCAGCCTGGGACCAAACCCCATGGCAGGCAGGGCACGAACAGGATGGCTTACAGCGCCGTCCCCCTGGGGTGGCTCATCCCTTGCCAGTGTGCAGCCCGGGTGACACTGCAGGTGCAGGCATGGAGGGAGGGGACGGAGCAGGCTGTGCTGCGCTGCAGAGAGCTTGGGGCACTCGCACCCATGGCTCCCTCTTGGGGCTGTCTTGAACACCTCCCCACCCCCCCACCCCGTAATTTGCACTCATGGCATAAGCACTAAGACAGGAAACGTAAGGACATCTGAGATGGCCCAGGGCTGATCCAGGCTCTTACACCTCCTAACACTGCACAGCTTTGTCCCAAAACTTGAGCCCGAGCATTTATGCACTTCAGGTCAAATGGCGTTGTGGGTGTTTGACTAATCCTCCCACCTAAAACCCCATTCTCCACCACACATCAGTTTTGCAAGACAAACACACTAAATACACCATGCGTAGCCAATACACACGCTATGTGTAGGGAGATGGCAGGAACGCAGCCTCCCTAAGCTCCCCTGAGTTATTCTCTTAGCCTATAATAGCCTGATATTTTGTTATCAATCTTCCTCCCGCCTCCCCTCCCCCCCGGTTATTCCAAATCTCTGTTATCTACAGTATGGCCCAATTGACTCAATGTTGCTCCCCAAAACAATGCCAGGAAGGCAGTGTAACCTGCTTTTATTGATACCACATTAGTAGTAGCAGAGCTAACCAGATATACAGGAATATACATTTGAACTCAGATTGTCATCGTACAGGAAAGTCGGAGTGTTTGTCTGAAGCAGAGCGCTGCCAGCTAATCTGGATCCTCCGGCTACCTAGCGCCCAGCTGTTGCAGTACAAGAAGAAAGGAGGCTTGTGCAGGGGGCTTGCTTGCATGGGAGGTTTCAGGAGAAATTAAAACAAATAAAATGTGAGATCTTTAAATGCTCATCATTAGTTAAATTAGTTTATGTGACCCATCTCTGCTCTTGTAGGCATACCCAGCGAGAAACGAAAATCCTCCTTTTTCTGCAAGCCTGGTGACGCAGAGCACAGGAGAAGAAAAAGGCTTGCATCACTGTTACAGCTGTTTTCCAGGTAGCAGGTTGAGGCTTTCACTAAGAGGTTAATTTTAGGTTACGTTACCCTAAGCAGTCAAATCTATTTGCTGCATAAAAAAGTCCCAACCGCGGGGAGAAACCGCGAGATCAGAACTGACCGTCTTCCGGCAACTTTTTACAGGCAGGTAAATAAAATACTTGGCACAGGCGAAGGTTTGCAGCTATTCTAAGTATGTGCAGACAGCTTCTTAACTGCCCCCCGTCTCCGGCGGAGGCGAGACTGGCCTATTCTCCGGGTGTGTATTTAGCCCTTTGTTTTAAGAGGTGCCGCTGGAAGCGCTGGCCCAAAGCCCCATCCCTGGCTGCCACGGCTCTCTGGGAGATGTGCCTGTAACTCCCCTCGAGGGAAACACCATCGGAGGGTGATCAGCACCCTCCAGACGGCCGCTCAACTGCCCCCCGTCTCCGGCGGAGGCGAGACTGGCCTATTCTCCGGGTGTGTATTTAGCCCTTTGTTTTAAGAGGTGCCGCTGGAAGCGCTGGCCCAAAGCCCCATCCCTGGCTGCCACGGCTCTCTGGGAGATGTGCCTGTAACTCCCCTCGAGGGAAACACCATCGGAGGGTGATCAGCACCCTCCAGACGGCCGCTCAAGCCCTTTCTCTGGGAACGACTGGGAATTTGGCTACCAAAACAGACCGGGGTGGGGGGGGGGGGGGGGGCTTCAGCCCTGCATCTGCCTATCTGGAGCGGGCAGGAGAGCAGCTCCGTCCTGCTTGAAAAACCTTATCAGTAATCAGTTTAAAAACATAACTAGTTTTTGGGTGCAAGTTCCAAGGTACTTTTTCAGTCTCGCCAGATAAACAGCTGCAGGTAACGTTGGAGGGGCGAACAGAAAAAAATCCACTAACTTGGCGGGAACGCGGGCGGCTCACGCATTTACCCGGGCGCCCTTTGCGTGCGGAGCGCCCCTGCTGCTGGGAGAAGGGGGGAAATCGGGCTGCCACGCAGCGCTCCTGCAGCCCCCGCCCGGGGACTGGCTACTGCAGCGCCACGCAGCTTTTCCTTTAGGGCTTTATTAGGACTTTTGGATGTGTTATAAAGCCGTAACAGCTCTCTCTGAGCCACGGCTCAGGATGTTAGAGGTATTTGGTTCTTGATCCCTGAAGGATGTGGGGATGCATATTGAGGACAAGCACCAAGGGACATCCCTGCAGGCTGCTTGCCTCGAAATCACTCCGTATTTATGGCCTGACATGGATGGATATGCTGGATTGACCAAGATTTCTTAATCAAGGAATTGCACCCCAAGTCCTCTCCTGCTCCTCCCATCTCCCCAAACACGCTCCGTCTCCATCGCTCTGCTGCTCCCACTCTACCTCTTCCTCCCTCCAGGTCTCCCTGCGCCGCGCTTCCCACACGCGCCCCAACCCATGGGCCGCGCTGACCTGCAGGGCCCCGGTCCTCCGAAGGCCGTGGCGTCCCGGAGGCAGTGCCACGCGTGGCAGCCCCCGACGCCCAGCTTCACCCCCGTGGGCTCCCCGCACCCCCACGCTAACCCTGGCCATCCAGGGCGGCGTGGGGAAGCCGCAGTGGTGGCTTCCTGGAGGAGAAAGGGGCTGCTCACCTGTGCTCCTGGAGGTGGAGAGGCAAGAGGGGAGAGAGCGACTGCAGGGATACGCTTATTGTGACGCCTCCGTAGGCAAACTGGTCAAGGCAGAGGGCACACCCCCAACGGCAGTCTTCCCGCTCCATAATCCGATCAATCCCAGCCGCTGCTTTTTCTGCGGCATGACACGCAGCCCCCTTCCTGTACTGGGCAAGCGGAGAACTGGGATAAACAGTGAGCATCAAGCTTGGGAATAATTCGAAGCCTCTGGCCATCCTTATTCCAGCATAGCAGAGAGTCTAATCTGCAAGACTCGATGCACAGCTTGCCAGGATACAGCTCTGCAAGAGGCAATGTCACTTTTTATCCCTGTTGTCATGCGTCAGGTTGCAAGCCCTGGTACGGATGCTACGTGTGCATTCGAAGGTACCCACTGGTCTCTGCCACCAAAGCCTGAACGTGTGAGTTCAGCACACTGGTACCTGCCACCAAAGCCTGAACGTGTGAGTTCAGCAAGGAAACACCTTTCTTTTGTAAGGTCAGTTATATCAGAGGTTACTGTTGCTCATAAAAGAAGCTCTTCATACATTTAAATCAATGCTAAGAGTTTTAGCTAATACTGTCATTTCCTCTTAAAACAAATAGCTGATAAGGGGATAATCATGCCTATCTTCAGAAGGGTGATGTTCACACAGGAAACAGTTTTCTTCTTGCTATTCATGAACGTTTTCCCTACTACTTGTTTCTGACCTCACTTTAGGAAGGAAAATGCCCCTTCCTAGCTTTCCTTACCCCACTGGTATTTTTTGTCACTTGCAAGGATCGCCATCATTTTGCTGAAGCCAAACCAAGAGAACTGCAAGGTAGGCAGTTATTTTAGTAGGAACAGTGAACAGACAACAATATTTGGAGGTCTTTAAAATAAGTTACTTACATTTAAAAAAATTTTTAAGCTGAAGTGGCTTTTTCTCCTCAATCATTTCCTAGGGAGAGCAGTAAACCATTTTGAGAAACCAGTATTCTTGTAGCTGTTTTTATTTTTATTTTTAATTGACTAATCATTTACTTCCAAGTGTCTTAATTTAGCCGTTTGGCATAACAAGGAGAACCAGCCCCGAACTACACTCAGTCCCGCTCCATGCCATCTGAGACTTGCCTCTCCTGAAACCATCGAGAATGATGCTCATCGAGTGCTATGATATAAAAAAAAGTACTCATAATGGACTGATTTCTAATTAAGCTAGGTGGCAAAACTTTCAATTCGTATAGGATTATAAAGACAAAAGGATTTCAAGAATAACAAGCAGTTGCAAGATAGGAAACATTCTTCAAAAGAGAAAGCCTGTTGTCTTTTTAAAAACTGCAGATTCATCTATTCTCTAGTACTATCATATGCCTATACCTTTATATGAGAATAAATGAAGACACAACAGAAACACGTTGAAATCTCTAAAGCCATGTAAAACCCGAAGGCATTAAAATTTATTAAATGATGCAATAACAACAGAATTCTTTATTTACAATAGCATTATTTAACATCAAATAAGCAAATAGCATCAGCAAAGCAATATTAACTTGCATAAATGTATTTAAAATTTCTCTGAATATATCTACCTTTGCATAAACTGCTCACACTAGAAATACAAACATCAATGCAGGTGAACAAAGTGATGTTCAGAGTCAACTCCATTTTGAAAATAAATCACAACCTGAAACACTGTAAGCTTTCTCCTGAAGAACCATAGTTTATATATTGCTTAATTTTACCCTTGTATAATCTTTTCATATACACACATCTCAGATGCAACTTCATGATGAACTGTACAAATAAAACCCACAAATGACATAAAGGGAAAAATTAAATGACAGTAAATGTTTGAAGAAATGTGTCCATCATCTCTATTGAACAACATAAAGATTAAGTGATGATGCACTTATTCCAAAATTGTACACAATTCACTATACAAATATAATACATCAGACAGCTATGTAGGAATATACAAGACTTAAAAACAGATCTAAGGCATTATGCTAGATTTTAGCATTTTGAGGTTCTTGCACATAGCTTTTACCTGTAGTAAGAAACTTAAAAGATTTTGTTTTAGTCTACAAAGAAACACCAGGGAGAAAATTCTAATTAAAATCAAAGCCACTACAGTAAATTTTCTTTTGTGCAGAGAATGCTTTTGCTCTTAGGCAGCATACTACCATACAAATACTAGAAAACTTTTAAATTCACACCAACAATTAATGGCTTAAGTTGCATTTCAAAACTGATTGTGTATCTTTGGGTTCTGCAAGTGGAGCTGTGCCACCCATTTCATCTGTTAAGCCCATATGAATTCCATTTTTAAACAAAGATTAAAAAATGTATTGTATAAACTGCAAAAACATTGCTTTTAATTAATACAGGCCCAAAGGGATACTGGTGTGGGATAATATTTTAAAGACTGAGTACAAATTAATTCATTGTAGCAAAACAGCTCACTTCACTTCTTAACCTTACCACATTACATGAACACTTAAACAGGTCCTATGACCATGTATATATGCCTATTTTTCACATTATGCGCCTTTCACATTTAGTAATGTTAAGTAGAACACTGATTAATTGTTCTGTTAAACAAAATCCAAGTACTTTCTCCGACAAATTTACTGTATACAGGATGAAAAATACTGATAACGAAGGGAATTGATTTGGCCTTTTTTTGTTTCTACAGTGATCAATATGATCAGAAGATTCCTTCACTCACTTTCCTTTTTCGTTAGTTAGAAGACAACTGAAATCACCATGAACCCAAACTGAGTCAAAGTGATAGGTACAATCTCCTTTTTTCAAAATGGCAATGGATGATGAAGTGTCATAATCACTACAGATGATAAGGGTTTGCAGGACTCTCGTGAAAGAGGACAAATTTAAGCTATTATGTCCACTGTGAAAAAGAATAATCCGAAGAGGTTATGATTAAGCACTGAAAAAGAATATAATACAAACAAAATTATTTTAAAACTCATTTACACTTTGTGTTGCATGAAGTTAATTCCTTCAAATTTATACATTTCTTATATAAATAAATTTACCTCAGCTATATAATGTATGTTTAACACAAATGTCATCATATCAACGAGGCTGTGGAGCTCAGGGATGATTGATAGTTTTTTTAGTTTTCCATCAGCGCCTAAAAGGATGGCTCAGCTGACTAAAATTTCTTTTTGAGTTGGAAAACAAAACAGTGACTGCTGAAAAGCGTTGTTTCTCCAGAAGCGTGGCACTCCCCTTCTTAGTACATTTCCTTGACTTTCATCAGAAGCCTTCTATAGAAACAACCCTATTTCAAACCACCTTTTATCATATGTTCCTGAGCCTTATTATAGAATAACTGCTACCTTTATCTTAACTCCCACCTGAAAAACAAAAGAAAACTAAACACATGGCAACGAAATAAACTTTTCACTCCCAGAAGGCATGGCTGATGAGATACTATAAAATGCATTGCATTTTATATGACATCCAAAAATTTGTGTTCAGGCTAGAAAGTGGGTAGATTAGGGGTGAGAGGAAAGAAAAGAGAGGTCAAAAACATCATCAGTTTCTTAGCATTTCAAGTCCTCAGAAACTGACGCCAGTTTTAGTAAAAGATTACTCCAACCACAGTGGGCAAGGAAAAAAAAATACCCTAACAGTGGCCTGCTTAGTAACAGTTAGTTTCTCTAAGATTCGTTACGAAAGAATATAAACATACAAAAATCAAGAATTGGTTCCTACAGTGGCTGCATATAATAGTAGGTTAGATAAATGACATTATGAGCAGAATCACAAGGTTTAGAAAATAAGAAGTTTCAAGCCTACAAATTAGGTCTAATCAAGGCATTGTGATCCTTTACAAAACACTTTCCCAGGAGACACACACGGCTAAGAAGATATCTAATTTAATACTGAAGTACCTCATTCGGAATCAACTTCACAACATGTATATCTCACAAAAATTATACAAGTAAAACACTTAAGTTTTCAACTTAAATTATTGCTTGTTTACATATAAACCGGATTTTAGGTACCTTACAAAACTTCCTCATAGTCCACACTGCTTCAGAATAATTCGAAACACACAACAGTGGTGAAGTCTGTAGTGATATCTGCTATAGGTATTACATGAATCGTTATTTTCCCGGTTAAGGGGATGGGAACCAGAAATTATCGTGCTTTAAAGCAGGTATCTTGAGCTCTTTGATATTATGCACCAATTCTGCCACTACCATAATCAGTACATGCATTATCACTGAACCTGCTGTTCAGCAACCAGCAACTTGCAGTCTAGATTGCTGGTAACACACCTAGGGAAATGAAGAGCTAACCTGTTCTTTTACTCTATTAGAAAAAGAGATGAGAGAGGTCAGGAGAGCCAGGTTAAAATCAGGATTTGCTGATTTTTAAGAATTTAATTACCTAAAGAATGTAACAAACTTATATTTTTGGATTCATGATTTGCATTACAAACGTTACCAAAAAATGCAACTAAAACACCCCTTATAAACAGCCCTCTTGTGGGATAATTTTCACCTGTGTTACAACTTTTACCCCATTCAAAATTGGTCTGTATAGTTTTCTACATAGGTTCATCTTCTCTGACTTGTTGCAAATGAAACATATTCATTAGAGGTCTGTATGCACCAGACACTGCTTCTAAACCCTCCTCCAGGTCTCTCCGCCCCCAAAATGCAGGCCTTAGTTTAAAACACCAGTCTTCAGATGGAACTGAATCCTTTGCACCAGACTGAGTAGCCAGGGAAAACAAAAGCAAAAAACCAAGGTCTAGAACTAAACGGGAACAGAACAAGAGCATGGTTGTTTTTCCTTAAATACATACATTTAAATACATTCAATCTGACATGGTTTATGAAAATTGCCTGTCAACATTTACTTCGCAGGAGAGATCTAAGTTGCACTAAGGTGAATGCAGTGAACAGACTGAGCAACTGTCTGTACGCTAGCTTCAGACTGTCAAAGAGGCTGCTCGTTCAGCAACGACCGTTTTGACTCCCCTCGGGAAGGCAGAGCTGAGTCCTGTCGGCAGCGGGGAGCTAAGCTCGCGCTGCTGCAACTCGCCGCCGAGCAGCTGGGTCACGGCCAACCGATGCAGCTCTTCAAACTGGTAAGGGTTCGGGGCCGTAAGCCCAGTCAGCTGAAGAAAGGAGCAAACAAACCGCCTCTAGGGTCAGCAGTATTTCTGCAAAAATAGAAATTGGACAAAGACAAATGAATTCTTCTACCTTGGATGCTGGAAGGACAGACAGGTGAACGAGACTGGGATGCTCTTCCGCAATACACAATTTCCCTCCACGATACTCAGAACAGGTTGCAATGCACATATTTTTACTCACCTACATTGATATACTACTTTAAACCTGAGATTTAATCTCAATTTACAAAGTAAGACTTTTCTTTGCATGCACTGATGCAATAGGCTTGTGATTAATTCCAGTGAAATCAACGGGGGCTTGCTTCACTACATCCTTAGGTCCTTAATTCACTTCAGCTATCGTGGATATTATAACAACTAAGGATCATCTACGATTTGTAGACTCCACATAAAGGCACAGCAATATGGTTTAAGAGAGGTTGGTCTCAGACTCGGGTCACGAGCCAAATTTCTCTGTGTTACTGTCGTATCTTTCTCGCAGGAAATGATTTTTTTTAAATCCATTTTTCCCCTCCAAGAATTATAATTAAAAAGCAAATACAGAAGAAAACAAAAAAGCTCCAGCTAGCAATCCGTACAGATGCTCTTTACTTCATGATTGCACTGTCTTTATACACACTGGTTTCAGCTGAGTTGATTACCTTGTACTTTCTTATTTAAAAAAACCGCAGGATGTGGTTTTCACAGCCGTTTTCAGACTGCCCCTTCCCGTGCCCGCGGCGTGCGCCTCTCTGCCTGCCTGCCCTTGCAGACTCCTGCTCCCGTGTGGCTTTGTGCTCAGGGAGTCGACCCAGCTGAAAACTGTTTTTTTTTTTCCCCTGGGTTAGTTTGCACTTGCACCCCGCGGCACCCCGCGGCTCCGCGGAGGAGCCCTTTGCTCAGCAGCCTCCCGTCCTGCCCGGGAAAGGCCCCCTTTGGTCGGGGAGCTCTGGCCGGGGGCGGTTTCCTCGCCCTCCTCTGGAAGCTGTCTGTACGGTCTGCTGGACTTCACCGCCTTCTCCCGTGCAATGACGGGAAGGTCAGACGCACTCCCTCACCGGGCCGTGTCTCCGCTATTTCCAGCCCTGCCCGGGGCGTAGCCGCAGCTCTCTGAGGCCAACCATGAAGCAACGCACGGAGGCCAACACGGACCCTCCCCACGGCGAACGCCAACTCACTTCTCATTTTGTTGTCTTGAGAGGGCGAAGACACCACGCTCGCTTCCCGCAAACCCTGCCTAGTATGAACAAACTCAACTCTGGCTCTTCTGCCTAACGCGGCAGTCCTGGGACTGGGTTAGCACCTTCTGGCCACACAGCTCTGAACTGATTTCTGAGAACCCAAAGGAGACGTCCTCATTTTCAGAGTGGACTTTTTGCTAATAGTATCTGTGCAGAGTTGTTCCCACTAGACCAATGACTTAAAAAATAACTTTTGCAGAGCATGAATTTGCTTTGTAATTTAACAATATGTCATAGGGTGATAAAAATATATTAAGGAAGGAATTATACAAAAAAGGTACAAATTACTTTTAGAAAAACTTTTTTTTTTCTTTTTATTTAGACATAACCCAATAAAAGAGAACTTCAAGGAAATTTGTCAAGTTATTATTTCCAGGATGATAATCAATGTAGGAAAAATTGCTCAGAGTAACTTCTATGTCTGATTTATGTAACTTTAAAATAGAGAAGTAATCTAAAAACCCTGCAGATCATTAAGAACAAGAGTACCGCTACACTGCATTAAATTAAGCTGCATGTCTCTCAGAAACCTCAGATACATACAGTATTCTTCAGAGATATTTGCTTTTAAACAGCAGCAGGTTCAGACCACGTGAAGTTAGCTTATAAAAATTTGTTCCAATAACAGTGAAATAATGATTTATTAAACTGCTCTAGTTGCAACAATATTCAGGTCTACAAACAAAGGGTACTTTGCACCTTGAAGGAGAGAGAAAACTCTCTGTCCTCTAGTTACTTTTAAAACAGCCTCACTGTTAAATATTTGTATCATCGTTGTACGCCCTAAAAGCTCTAAAGGTCTTAGCCTTAACATATTAAAACAAAATGAAACAGTACTAAGCAAACAGAAATTAAAACGGTAAACGTACTTTCTGTAGTATATGCATATTTCAGCAACAGTATGTTATGCCCTGGTCACTCAACTCTTAAGAGAACCAGTCCGTTTAAGTAATACAGTTCTCTGAGGTCAAATTTACGAAACACTGAAAAATAACCCAAATTTGTCAGATGAATGTTCTCAGCTTTAACATGTGACAGCCACAGCTGCTGAGGGATGAAGCACATTAATCCTCTCTTCAGCCCTCTAATTACAAAGTTTGTACTTAAAACAAAAAAAGTTACTTAGAAGTAGTTTATGGCATGAAAACAGGGGCTCCTTAAACTCTACTGCAGTTCACAGTTCTGTGAAAAAGATATTTCTAGGGCTTATAAAACATTTGTAACATTTATGTAAAACTCTCTACCTTTTCCTTGGCAGTATTAGAGCTGTATTAGTGGAATAAAATTAAAATCTATACTACACGGAGGGTAATCAGAGGGTACTCTTGCAAAATATTTCAAGAGGTTTAAGAAGCTGCTTTTCTTTAGCTGAGCAATAACTGCTGCCAGGCATGGCTACTGGCCATTTTATTGTCACTCTGATCCCATTATTTGAATTTCAACCCCTTCAGCGGCACCTTTACCCATAGGAGACCTAACTTCAGCTGAAGTCCTGCCCCTCAGTTTCGTACACCCGCCGTTACAGCTCTCTTCTCTGACGTTTCTCTTGACTATTTCTGCACCCTCTCCTTGTACGCCTCCAGGCCTTTTCTGCCACATACGCTCTCTCTTCTGCTTTCCTTAAGCCATTCTTTAAAACCGACTTCCTCCTTTCTCTTCTTTATTCTCCGCTTCTCCCTTCTTTCCTCAGTGGTACCCTAGATGTTGTTCTCTGATGGTCTGGCTTCTTTTTATATATGGAATTTTACTGGATAAGGAATGCATCAAGGAACTAATAATTCCTGGGTACAGGACAGCTTCTGCTAAAACAGGACATACTGCGTCTTTTTATTAGTCATCAAAGTGACTGTGAAAAGGTTGTAGAAAAGATTCTCCATTCAGAGATCCTCCGCTCTTGGAGACAAGATACGTCTCATGTGAACCCCTAGGATGCTGAAAAGAATTGGCCTCTAGGGGGCTTAAAACACACATAAGTGCAAAAAGAGATGTATACAATACAATACACATCTGGCTACTTCTTTGTCAGTACTTTCATGACCTTCGTCTTCATTAATCTCAACATATTTGGAGTCAATAGCTTTCTCCCATTATTCAAATTTCTTTTTTCTAACGGCAGAATAACTTTAAATTTACGCTACTTTCTGATTTCAACGCTGCATTTAAGGAGACGACAGGAAATAATGATGTAAAGGATGGACCTCAAGCAGCTTATAAAATAACTCCCACAGAAATAGCAGGTTAGATCTGCCTATTTTGATTACTTTCAAAGACAGCTGTTTGCAAAGAGTGTGTGATATTTCAATAACTTAAATAAATAAATGCAGTCTCCCTCAGGGCCTTTCTTACACAGATCCTTGTCACCTGCTCCTGCTAACTGGCTATTACACTCCGTCATTTTCCCTCATTTATTATGTCCAAATCAACTTCGAATAAAAGTTTCCCAAAAGAAGAAAAATCGCGATCAATAATGCTGGTATGAATCAAAGCATAAGGAGAAAAACCAAGATAGAGGAGCTGCAGGTTCCACTTGTCACCCGTCTCTCTAATACCACCAGATGGCCACAATGTTTTCCAGTCAACGGTCCTCAGGGGTTTCAACTTGCAAGATACAGCATGGGGGGCTCCTCAATTAAATATGTGCACAACACTATACAGCAAGAGACAGTAATCCAGCAAACGAACATATTTAAAGCAGTGCATCTTCAGGCTTTGCCATTAATTGTTCTAAAAACAAGGGCAGCAGAGAAGAGGCTCCGGCGCAAGGCAAGAGGAGCGCTAGCGAAGGCACGAGGCAGCGGGCGCAGCAGCCGCTAGATGGTGCTTCCACCTCGTGCCAGACCCCGCGATGGCCACCCGCGGCACGGCGATGCGGCTGAGCGGACGCAGCCCGGCCAGCAGCTTTGCCTCCGCCTGCTGCTGGTAATCCCGAGAACCACCCATACACACTTTCCTCAGTGCATAGGTTTTCACGTGAAGCTACTTTGTTGTATAGAAAAGGTCAGCTTTGGACATCTGTATGGGTTTCCACAGCTGTGATGCTCAGAGCACAGAGAGAAAATAATGTACTCTAGCTCCAAATCACATCAGGTCTCAAAATACTGAGATGTAATACACTTATTACACTTATTTTAAATGAAGGCTATTTGCCATTAAAAAACCTTCTACTGGGGGAGGTGCAGGGGAAATAAAAAACACCTCATTTACCTAGGGCAGATGCCAGGAACTCTACAATGGCTTTCCTTTAATATTGTTACTGTCTGGAATATAAATCATTTTTGACCTAAGCAAGTGCTAGTTACTCCATCAGCTGGAGATTCGTGTGAAAATTAGTTCAGTATTCCCACTCTCCTCAGAACAAGCATCGCATAGAAAGCAATAAATAAAGTAATTCATAAAATTGGTGCCCTAAGTATAATGCAATGAAAAGTGCAAAAACACTTAGGCAGGATAAAACGTGAAATGGGTTAAGCATTCAGCAGTGAAAATATAAATCGCCAGTAAGTCTTTCCCATCATCAGATAGTAGTCATGTAATAGCTTCGTAAAAAGCAAATAAACTATAAATAAAAGTCTGCTGAACTTAACTTTGTTAATTCAGTATGTGTTGATGTATTCTGTATTATTCACTTTAATAATGCTAGTGGGATCTAAATAAGGAACTTAACAGAGATGTCACCAAAAAGATAAAGTAAAAAAAATTAATTGTGAAGGCCTTATATAAAATTACTAGCACCCTGGATACTTTTAACTTTGTAAGTAAAAAGATACTGTATCCATCCTAGACCGCACTGTACTGATTGTCCAGTTCCCTCTTTGTGCCTTTATACGTCATTTCTTACCCGTGTTGCATCTCCGTCCTGCTTTATCATATCCATTCCAGGCAGCTGGTTTGGAAAAAGATTGCCTCCCCTCATAGCAGGATCATTAACCTATTGGTAACAAGACATGACGGCAAATGGATTAAAAATATGTTGGAAAAAGGCATGGGGATTAAAAAGCAACATTATAAACTATTATGGTACCTGCATATAACAACATCCACTTCTGAAATGAGATTGTCATCAGAGAAGTGACTATATAGCTGAGCATCCTTGTTATTCATCACGTGCTTGACTCATATTGTTCTGCTTCGTAGTCAACAACAAAAATTTTGTTTCTGATACTATGACCCTTTGTGCATATTTTACCAACAGGTCATATTAGTTTAAGAGGAGATGGCTGCTATGAAGGTCCTGCAACTAGAAACGTGTAACTGCTTTCCTACCCTCAATGGCCTGCAGCCTTTCTGCTTTTGCAACCCACCACGGAATTTTTCAAAGCCTGATGAGAAAACACGTAGGCTGAACGATATTCAGTATTGATTTAGTTCTAATGACGTATTTTCTTCTGCTTGTAAGCAATGGAAGGAAGACAGTATTAAATGGGAAAACCTGCAGCTGCATGCTTTCCTAAATGGACGGTCTGAACAGTTTGCTGAACACAGCCACAGCAAAGTACTGACTCTGTGTACTTTTGCGCAACCAAAGGGTCTGTCATGCTTCGTTATGTGGAAAGATTGACTTGCCAAATTTACAGCATTGCTTTCTTAACCAAAGGACTAATCTTACCATGTAGGAACGGATACAGAATACGAAACATAGCCCTTCAGCAAGGTTCTTAGTAAATCCAACTTTCCTTAAAAGTTTTAATGGGAAAGAATCCTTTTCCTAGAGAGTCTTTGTTGATTCAATTTTATCTCACACTTCCCGCACACCAGATGGGTGGGACAATATTGAAGATCTGTCCCTCCAGATTTTGCTGGAAGGAGAATTGTATTTTCTGTTTCACTTGCCCTTTAGGAGACTCTTGGTTGCCAAGGAGAGCAGAATCTGCCACTACACTATTTCATTTCTGCTGTAACAACCTGCTGCAGCAAAGGGAGAATTGTTTTGAATTTACCACACCAAAACCGTCTGGTTTCAGGTCCTTCTGATCACTCTTCTGTTGCTATTCACTGATTTTGCAAAGAGCTGCAAAGCTACATGCACTACTATGATAAAAAAGGTGGTCTCTCTAACACTGCCAGAGACGTGAAGGCAGTTGAACAGGAAAGGTTAGAAACTTAAGTGTTTTTGCTTCAGAATTTTCAACTCTGAAGCAACTCATTATTCAAGCACTGTAAGCTCCCTAGTGACGCTTTCCACTTCTTAAAAACAAATGGATAGATTTTTTAAAATCTGAATCTGGAAATTTAAATAAAAAAGGTAAAGAACCACACTATTTTGTTTGGTATGAAAGAGTAGAAAGCTTCACCTATACACGTTTGGCTGAGCAACAGAATCCATGTCTGAAAAGTATTTTTTACCATTTGCCAACACTCATCAGAAGATTTGTTGCAACAGGCTCATGTCCACGTGCCTTCACTATTTTGTTCAGTAGACAAATGAAGGAAAAAATAAAAAGCAAAAAGACAAAATTATGTTTTATTGAATAAAGAACAGTTTTGGAACCAAAAGAAGAGCTCATGATTTGCACCACAGTAGAGTTAGGACAGTCATGGAAAAGCAATGTGGCTCTAGCAACAAAGGCATCAGTTAAGTTCCAGTTACAGATCTCCTTGCTAGTGATGGCTCAAGAGCCTCCACTTGCACGGTAATAGACACAAACGAAAATCTACTGTTTTGTTATAGGATTAAATATGCTCCAGAAGTTCGTGAAAGATAAAATAATCCATATTAACACATGAACATCTCTGACTGCAACAGCAATTCAGTCAGAAAAGTAAGGAAAATGTCAAAGAAGTTAAAAAGGTTTTTATAATTTTCTTAAGATTTTTCTGAAATAAGAGAATTTTTACAGATGATTGTGTAAAGAAGGCAGGTTAAGTGGTGTTATTACATATCAAATCCAACTAAAACAAGACAGGACACGTTTTACAACCCCCTTGCAATTAAGCATGTCACTACAGCCTCCTGTAAGTAGAGCAGAGTTATTTGGAGCACGTCTAGTACGAAAAGTCTCGTACCACTCCTCAGCTCCTTTCATCCAATATGCAGAACAGACCTAGTCTGTTCTCAAAATACTGTTTCAAGATGATTCTTAGTAAATGCCATGCAAGTTTTGACTTTGGGAGTACTGCAAGCATGCAGATTAATAAACATCTACTCTGAGGAGACATCTAGATAGTGGCTTACTTCATATATTGAAAAGTCCCTTCTCCTGCAGAGAAACTGCTTCTTCGACAGCTCAGTAAATGACATGTGTCCATGATGCAAAATAACTAACCGGCATAAAAAAAGGAACAGTCCATTGGGCAAATAACAAGAGGGAGACAAGGAGACGAGCACTTTTGTGAACGGTGCAACACAGGCAAGGTTAATATTTTGTGGATCACAGGGAAGGTTTTGGATGGGAGGAACTGTGTGGATGTGGCAGTCTGCCTTTTGGCCTTACTGACAGCAGCCTCCTAAAAGACAGACTAGTATGGGCAGCCTGGAGAGCTGTAAGGTAACTGTAAGGGAGAAGATGACAGTGAGACAAGGTATGAACCCCCAGGTACGTAAAAAAGTCTCTAAGCATCATACATGGCAAACCCAAGGGGAAGACAATATTTCGGGCATGATCTTCTATATGGTGATGCGGAGAGTTGAGGTAGTAGACAAGAGAAGTTGGAGACGCACGAATGTGAGCAGCTAAACAAGACAGCATTTTCGAACTCTGAACACGTCCACAGGACACAACATAGTGCCATGGGAAGAGACAAGAGACAGAGCTGAACAAATCTGTTCGGTACCAAAAAGTAGCATAGTTGCTTCTCGGCAGGTAAGCCAGCTCAGGCAGAGCTCTTTTCGAACAAGAAGGTGTTCCTTCCAAAACTATTCAATAAGACGTTCTTGAGCTTCCTCAAAAGCTGAAACACATTTGTAGCATAACCACTGTTATCCACTGTGGTCAGAAAGAGATGCGCATGTGATGTTAAAACTATATGTTATGTAACAATAAAGAGAAAGTAGGTGGCAATGAATAACTATGTAAAAAATACACATGACCATAAAAAATAAAAAATCAGAAGAATGAATGAAATGTCAACAGCCAGCAGAATTAAAGAAAATAAAAAGTCATTTTGAAAGCCACCAGTTACAAGAAAATGTTTAGCACAGTCTAGGTCAACTGCTAAATAAAGATGGAAAATTGTAAAAAGCTATGCCCAAAGCACAGGAAAAAAAATCAAATTTATTTTTAATATATATACTAGCATTTATTCCTGCCTCTCAGAAAGGAAAATGTGAAGCAGCACAGCAAGCATTCCTGAAGACTAAAAAATCCTGTCTTGTGGCCCAGAAATGGCCCCTCAGCTGCCAGTTGGCCACCTCTGACCTAGCTGAAATATAAAACATTTGCTTGCAGAGTTTGCAGATGACACAGTGCAGGGCTGGTAAATCAGGAGGAAAAGAGGCTACTGTTAGAGACTGAGCCACGGCATTTTAGTTAAATAAACAGCTTTTGTTAGATTAAGTCTAATGCAGACAAAAGGAAGGTAATATGGGGACAAAGAATGCAGGTTTCATCTGTGTAGAAAGCATTCAGCAAGAACACGGGGATATGGGGATATCAGGGTCCTCCTAAGGGTTTCCGTATGAGCTCTCCATTGACACAAACAGAGCTAAAGCAATCCCTCCCTGTACGGAAAGAGAAATTTGTGAAATCACTGTTATATCTCTATATCCAGTTCTTCTGTTTATACTTCTAGAAGGATGCTACAGTAACAAAGGGAGCTTAAAGCAGATCCGCAAAAGGGACTGAAGGTCTGGAAAACAAATGTTGAGATGGATAGAGAAACTCAATCTACTCAGCTTACTGGAAGTTAGATAAATGCTATCTTGAAACAAGATCTAATAGCTGAACAGGAGAGAAAAACAGTACAACAACTGTGCCCGTGGAAGCAATATTCTGCAAAGATCACGGGAGTCTCTGAAATAAAACTTCATCTTTTCTATAATTTACATTTCTTAATTCAGATTCTTGTGGAAAACTATGCAGCACGTGCACATTAAGAATTCAGACTGGGTTGTCATCTTCAACTCCCTAGTCTTTTCTTCTTTGGCTTAACTAGTGTTTTACTATATTAAAAACGTGCAACAGTATGCACTTAGGAACTAATAATAATAAAAAAGTCTGCTATAGTTGGGCTCAGCAACTGGGACTATCAGAGGAGGTGACAGATTTGGGAGTATCAAAATTACTTCAAGTCACCAGTATGCGGCAGCTGTGAAAGACAAATGTGATCTGGGGCTATATCTGTCAGTGTATTCCAAGAGAAATTAGGAAGAACTAGTGTTACGCACATGGCACTGGTGCTTAGGAAATACTGATTCAGCTTGGAACAGGTGCAGAAAAGGAAAAGGAATGCAAAGCCTACAAGAAGAGACTGAAACAGCAAGGCTTGTTTAACTTGGGGGGTGAGGGGCAAGAAACCCCCAAACAAAACATGCCAACAACCCCAACACAAAACAAAAATGAAAAAATCATACTGATATAAAGCTTTTCTCTAAAAGACAGGGAGAGAAAAGGGCTATTTAAGCTAAAGGACAACACTGGCAGAAAAGTAGTCTGTTAGCAAATTTAGGCTAAAAAAAAAAGACATTGGTTAGCAAACCAATAATACAACCAACTTTAAATTGGAACCTCATCATCTCAAAAGAGAGGTTTATGATTCTACTGGCCACAATTGCAGGAGACTCTGCTTGATGATTCACAAGGCACTTTCCTGGCAATCTTTCTAGGAAAGGTCCATAATTTAAAGTTTGTGTGTTGAATCAATTGAACTTCACCTCTGAAAAAACCATACAGATCTGTTAATTAAGACTTGCCTCTCAAATATTTATTAATGTGTTACGTGAATTTAATTATGGACTGACAAACTGAAAACGTTGCTTTCCTAAATCTGCATATCCTAAGCAGCAATCTCAAAAAAAAAAAAAAAAAAAAAAGACTGTGTAAATCTCCTCTCAGCAGAAAGGAACAGGTTACCTGGCTATTGATTTAGCAATCTATTTTATACACATCACACTACAAAAAGTGTGAATTTTGTGCCTGTGAAGGTGCCAAATTGATACTTCTCAAAGTCTATTGCCTATTGTCTGGTACTACAAAAACAGTGGTAGTAGAAACATCTTCCACACGCTACCCACGCCAGCCTATTTCACTCTTATCTCCAGGAACCTGCCTGACATTCAGTCCTAGCCTCTGCTGCTGAGAAAATTAGCAACAACATGGGTGGCTGTCAACTGAGCTATCGAAACTTACCTACCGAGAATAGGAGCTAGGTCACCACACACTTTCCAAAGAAGCCCAGGAGCAACTATATGCTCTAGTTACAAGAGTGCTAGGTTAAAATGGGAAATCTAGATGCAAAAGGTGCTCTACCTCATTAGTCACCTTGGTTATCTGAGTGCAAAGCCACAAAGAAAGCCTTTTTAACATAATTATTTCTCAAGGAAACTGATAGAACAAATATAATGGCTTATAGCAGTTACAGCCCAGCTCAACTGACCTGAAGAACTACAAGTCAAAGAAAATCCTCTAGCTGTCATCTCAAGTCCTTAAGTTCTCACCTGCTCAGGACCCATGGAGGACAACCCTGATGTAGGCACAGAGGTCGCTGAGGTCATGCTGATCTGCCCTGTCATCTGGTTCATGTTGTTCATACCACTTGTGTTGGTTGCCATGGATACACTGATGTTCATGTTATTATTGTACATGCTGGTGCTTGCTTGCTGCCCAAAATGTGGTGGGGACTGTTGTGAAAACATGCTACAGCAAGGAATGGAAAAAGCAATGTGTCAGACTTAGAATGCTGAAGCCACTAAGAAACTACTCTCTTTTCAATATACTTTGAACTAGAATTTGTACATACTGTTGTTTATGCCAACTTACAAGAAAGACTGTTTTTCAGCTACATTTATGTCTAAGGAATAGATTTGCAAAATTTAAGGTTCCACGTCTGTGCACAAAAACGCATGCCTTTGCGAGTGAAACTATGGCAGAGGGTACAAATCTGTTATGTGCGTGCATAACAGCCAATTATCTGTCTAGATGGGCCTTGCATATATATTTATACACGTCTGGAAAAGTAACTTTTGGACGGAAAGGAAAACACCTTTTTCCCTCTCCCTTGTTATCACAACGCAGGACTGCTGAGTTGATACTGGATCTGGCTCAATAAGCTTCCTTTTTGCAAAGGAGGCTATTTGCACATATGAATACCAGATTTGCACATACAATTATGGCAAGTGGGCTCACAAATACAGACATGCAATTGTGCAGAAATTTATATACTGATTTTAAGCATCAGGTTTTAAAAACGTGGCACTATAAGAAACTGTATAAAGTCCAAGGCAATTACCCTCCACAATCATTGGAGGCCTCTGCAAAACAACTTAAGGAAAACCAACTGTGGCTGAGCTCTGTCCTTTTTTTTTTTTTTTTTGAAGTCAAGTGCCTTGTGCCTCCTTAATAGCATCTTCCCATTACATTGGAAATCATATGAGAGGGTTGTTTTCACACAATTTATAAAATGTACTCCCCACTATTTATATATCAGCCTTTCCTACTCTGGGAGCCTAATCCAATAGTAAATGAAGGAATTATTACTGAAGACATGTCTAGATGGAACATCTACGTTACACAGAAGTACTGTGGAAGAACTGCTGCATGTACGACGATACACAGTTACCATGTACCTATCAACAGCTGACTTGTACTTCCCCATGAAGCACTGCTCCCACAGCTGAGGAAATTTTTGATGGATAATGCTCAACCTCATACTTGGGTCTCCATTACGCTACAGCCATGCACTGTCCATTGTGAGATTTTTTTCTTCGAGTGTCCTGCGGATAGCGGAATGCAACTGCATTCTGGGCACTGGATCAAACTCTGAAAATCCCACAATTCTCTTCCTTCTATTCCATGCTTTTCTAGGCCACGTAACCCCATTTTTAAGTTGTTATCTGGATGGATGAAACAGCACACTACAGATCATTGTGCATACTCAGTGGCTTGTGTAAACGCCTTTGACACGTCTCCGCAGTAGAGGTGCAGTTTGACATGCCAACCATGAGTCTATCAAGCTGCTGCTGCTGCAGTTTCAGCAGAAGCCACAACAGTGGTAGCTATGCCTCCTGCAGATGCTTCAGGAAGACAGTGAGGAAGCGACGAGGACGAGGATGAGGATGATGAGCTAAATCAGCTGCTTTAAGGGGAATTTTACTTGGATCAGCCTCGTCACTGACGTACTATTTTTCTGGGTTTAGTAAACGTGTCAACTTGTGGGAAAAAGATTTGTTGAGCTGGGATAGCAAGAGCAGCTTGAGAACTTCAGAATGACAAAAGGACTCTGCTATAGATCTGTGTGCAGTCTACCCTCCAGGGATAGTGGTTGTACACCACCCTGACAGCTCTTCCTGTCCATGGGGAAGCACAAGATCAGTGCCCTCTGGAAGCTCATTATTGCCTACCGATACTGTTCAACATCTCACCCATTCAGTGTGGACAGATTAATTATTAGGTTTATACTGACTGGGGCACGAGTCTCAACCAAAAAGGTGACTGCATGCATGAGGCATGCTACAATGCTATCAGAGAATGAGAGTTATATGCTGACCCCAAATATGTGCTGACCCCAAATATGTGCAAGCACAAATGGACTGAACTCGGTTGCACTTGGGCATTTAAAGTGAGGTGATATCCAGTCATTGTAATTCCAGAGCAGCAGAGAATGCACAGGTTACAGCTCAGCTGGACCAGGCATGTGGAAAGCAGTGTGGGAAGGCAGCAATAAAATCATATGCAGAAGAGATGCATCCACACAAACATTAGGAACTGGAGCTCATCGTGCAGCACAACTTCTTCAAAAGGACACAACAGTGTTTCATCAGTTATTGCAGACAAAGTATTGCATTGTGTGGATGCAGGTCTTTTAGCTATGCACTCACTTTGCCTTGTATGAAGACAGAATTTAAACCAACTCGTCAAGCCAAATTGAAAAGAAATCTCTTTTAGGAGTAGATAGTTAACAACAAACAAACAAACAAATATATATAACAATAGATAAATAAGTATAGACCATAAATGACATGTTTTCCTGTGTGTGTGTTCATTCAGGTTTTGTTCTGGATTTACCTGTTTCCACCCATATTCCCTTGCGCCCACCCATTCATCTCCGTAGAGGACTGATAGGCAGGATTAGCCTGAGACTGCTGAATCATGGGACTCTGAGTGTGCGCCAGCCTTGGGGACATCAGTGGACTCTGAGGAGTGGTTGCCCCTGTGAAGCCTGGATCAGGCTGCTGACTTATACCTAAAAGAATAAAATGAGAAATTTAGCCAGTGCACATTATAGGCTAAAACAAAGCAAGAACTCAAACCTGCAGACATGTGTCACCTGGAACCTGTGACCTTGTGTCTCCATGCAGGGTCTAGATTAAAATCAATACATGATCAGCTAAACACTACATGCATAAACTTAAAAAAAGTGCTTTGCATAAGTACGTTGCCTACTTGTGCTCCCTAACGTGTGGCAGAGGCCATAAGGAAAAACACTGGTTTTTTACCAGCGGTTAGCTAAATAATAAAGCAAACAACTTAAGTTGTGAGTTTAAACAGATTTTAAAACGTCAATTGTGTGCAAGAATTTTGTTCTAAAGCAAGTCACTTTGATTTTGTTTAAGTTCAAGAGCAGCATACTCAATTGAAACAAGCCACTCTTAACACTGGAGTAAGAATTAGGTTCTATGAAATCTAGTCCTATATATTCACTGTCTGCACAACTTGTACTCATTGTATGATATGAAACAGAGAAGTTAACATAACTTGTATTCATTTTCGTAAAGCAATAACAAATCTGTGGAAGGAAAGCACTATTACAATTGAGAAACTGATGCAAAGGAGAACTGATCAACAGAACAGATAGCAAATTTAGAATTAGGTGAAATTAATTTGTATTAGTTGTATCAGTAGAACATGCAGATACATAGTATTTGATGTAATTTTAACATAACTGTTACAATATATTTAGAGCAAGACAGTTCTGTAACAATAACTGCATGGAGGTAACTGACCCACGTACCTCCAGAGTAAAGCAGCGTACAGCTTCTTAAAATATATTAACAAAATAGTATTACACACAGGCCTAAGGAAGGGAATGCCTCATTTGATACTAATTTTTATTATTTCAAGACAATAACTAAGTTGTTAATTTGATATTATTATGCACACACAAAGGATTATATTTTTTGGAAAGAATCTGTCTGATTTTTTTAGCTCCTCTCATGATCAAGACGCAAAGAATAAAACAGTACCACAACGATGTGAAAAGACTGCGTACAGCTTTGCTTCTGATGAAGTTTCTGGTCACTTTGGTCTGTCCGCCAGCATCGATTCACATCTTTTTCACATTGTATGTATTGGCTGTTTTATTTTAGTCAAAATACAGAGCCCATAGAGCCAATATGTACATGTATACATGTACATGAACGCATGCCTATTTGTGTGCGCATACACCTATAAATATCAATAAACACACAGGTTGCGCTTCTGCTATTGTTCAGTGAAGACCTGCACTCAGAGAAATCATGGTACCTGAGCTAGGAAAGTGGAAGGTATCACACCAAATTTGAGGACTCAGGACAAGCCCAACCACCCTACTGTGTTTCCCATCATTTCCCAGTTTGGCAGACCCAGGGGGCCCCGTGAGGAGCTGCGGGAGGGGAGCCGGGCCCGGGGCGATACTGGGGAGGAAGGACTGCTGACAGGCATCGGGGGTAAATCCAGTACCGTAGTTTGGAGGAAACGGAAACTGCTGTGCATTTGCCTGCGGGATCCGTGGGTTGCTCATGGTTGCTGGTATGCCACCGGCGGCCACCATGCTGGGGGTCATGCTCAAGCCCTGCCCTCGCATCATCAGCGTTCGCTGCTGCACCTGCTGCTGCTGCTGCTGCATCTGCGCGCGACTAGCGGGAGGCAGCGCCGCGGGAACCATCAGAAAGACGCAAGCTCTTAATCCCCTCCCCGCAACAACAATATTAAACGGAAGACAATAATCCTGTTAATACTTCTGCTGGGCAAGAATTCCAACAGTGAAACACAGTTGCTAACATGAATAATGCCAGCGTTTAATGTTGCAGATATTTGTGACCGTAAACAGATAGCTCATTAAAAAAAAGCATCTTCTCTAGCAAATGACAAACTTGGTTAGCATGCAGTTATATCACATCTCTAGTAAGCAAGCATTCACCCTGTGTAAATACGGGAAAGACTATAAAACAATAAAATGCTTTATTATCATTTAGACTGCTTTATTTGTTTTCAGGACCTGCTTTATATTTCTTATATGCATTTACAATATAGCATTGGTACTCTATTTAGATTAATAGGGGGAGAAATAGGAAAATAAAGAGAATTTTTCTGAAGTACTATTTCCCTCACCTGCGTTGGCACTCCAGGTCTCAAAGACAGATTCATATTGGAGACGCTGCTGATCTGATTTATCAGTGGCTGCCGATTCTAAAGAGAAGAAAAATTAACCCAGGAGTTGTTAAGGGGGGGGGGAATTTTATATACATGGGTATATACATCTTCTTTCCAATTGGCAGATTTATGGACCTAGTTTTACAGATTCAGGTATAGACTACTTTTCCTGCTTGAATCCTGCCATCGTTTACAGAATCTCACTTTTTAATGAGACAATGCACTGCACAAATAGCAAAAGAGACACTACGCTGTTTTCCAAATATTCTGCCTTTACAATTTCTACCTTTTTTGAGTTCAGGATTGGACCATTGAGGACTCTGAACTACTCTTTGAACTAGGCTCTATAATTTGTATATACTTTTAAATTTTTGTTTAAAAGTGAAACACGGTACAACAACTTAAAATGATCCTTCACTGTAAACCAAAGCAACAAAAAGGATGTGGGTAACAGACAAGAATAAAGAAAGCATGTAGATTACTGGAAGAATCAAGATATAATTCACAGAAAAGGACGTATACAACAACAGGCACTGAAGAAGCCCTGCGGAATTACTTAGACCCAGACCTATATATTTGTACGGTATTACAAGGATAATTCTTGTACAATACTACAAGAATAATGAAAAGGTGAAAAAAACATCAAGAGCGAGCATACACAATACTGGCAAACTTATTACCATAAAATGAAAGTAAATAGTAAGAAAATAGGGTACACATTTAAAAACTAGGCAAATCAGAGCAAGCGAAAAGTCAGTACATGCAGCCTATAATATGTGACTGTGCCAGTGTAAACCAGCTAACAAATAGGCTCTACCTGCTGTGCTTGGAGCCTGTGTTGAAGCTGAAGTCTCAGCTGATTTGGCTGGTTCTGCACTATGCCAGTGGGCCGGAGGCCAGGCCTCGGCTGCATGCGCAAGGCTGCGTAACCTGGCCGCTGCCCCATGGGGTGGAAGTTTGGGTCCTGCATGGGTGCGTAGCTGCCCTGGGCCAGCTGCGCCTGAGATGCATACTGCTGGGTGAACACCGGGGCCTTCTGGTCCAGAAGGATGCTTGAGTCTTGACTCGAGAAGGTCTCTGGATCTACAGCTTGGCTCTGCGTAAATACATGAACAGAAGTGTATGCAAATGGTTGGTGGGACACAGTTTTCCATAGGATCGTATGAGACTAATACAGCCACCCCACAAAAACACCCTTCTAAACAGAAGGAAGGAACAGGAGGAACAGAACAGAAAATTATGTACATTTTCTTTGATAAAATATAAAACTTGAGGAAAAAAAACCAAATTGTATTTTTGAATGTTAAAACATTTTTAAGGAGACCACTTCTTCCTCTCTTGCTTTTTTTTAAAAGCCCATTCTTTGCAACGCTCTTCACATAGACATTGAAGCATTCTTCCAGTGAATAAAAATGTGAAATGATAAACGCTATATAAAAATCTGTAAATAAAGCAAAGTCACTATATTTTTGCCATTGAATTGGAGATAAATTCAAAGGCATTACAAACGAGCAGGGAAAAAAAGTGTAGATTTTTATCAGTATTATTCAGCTCTTAAAGAAGCTAATGCAAATAGAGAGCCTAATTTGTTCAGGGCTTTTTTGCACAAACTGATTGCCCGTCAGCTTGGAATAGCTAACACAATTTTAAACTCTGCTCTAGATATTTCCCTTCCTCTCTACCCAGAATAACTTTATAACTTATTCCACACTGACCTTCGGAATCAAGTTAATCTGAATTTCAGTGCCCTCATGAAAATAACGCCTAAAAAATGCTTGATGGATACTTTTAAAATCACTTTCTAAAATGTGACATTTCTCTTATCTGTGAAATTCTTTGACTGTTTCCACTGAGATGTTAACTAACAGAAATATATTTACGATTTAGTTTCAAATAGAACAATCTACATGCTATTTTGGTGGTGGTACTCCAAAAGCTATACACTACTAAACGAAAGTTTCATATCACAGAACTGAAGTTCACCACTAAATTATCTCCACCGTAACACTTCATTATGTTCTGCATTGTACTACATGGTCTTCTCACGTCCAAACCAGGGTTTCATTGGTCCTATTTCATAGTTACAGACGGCCCACAGACTCGAAGAGACAGAAGCAGCGTCTAAAACGCAGACCTATTTCAGAAGACATTCCCAGGACGCTGATGAATGCTGGGTAATGAAATGATATTCTAGGTGACAAGCTCATCTCAGAGCATTAAACCATTATAGAGGCAAACGTGTCGGTTTTGGAAATACAGTTTTGATGTCAGAAACATCAAGCGCACTAACTTGTTCCCCAAATCTTTTTTTTAATTTTTACCACTTTATTCTGCATCATGTAAGACTGAAATAGACAAAAAACAACTGAAAACTAATAAAAAAAAATCTGTAGGAAAAATAACAGATTAAAAATAATAGAAAACTCTGTCCTTCAAAGTATAGGAAGCATGTTCCTAACTTAAGAAAAAAAACTTACAGTTTTAAGTGCTTGGAGTGATATCAGGTGCTTCAGGTGAAACTGATCCCTTAACTCACATCAATCAACTAAGGGAAAAAACTAAGGGTGTAGTTACATGTTACACTTTCGCTCATCCAAAAACTTGCTGCTACCGCAACGCGAAGGTCTTGACGTTTCTCCTCTGCACTCATATTGTCCTTTCTTCTTTCCTACCCCTGCTGCTGGCCGTGACCTTACCGTGCGCTCCCACACAACAAGTTGTTCCTCTGACCGCCAGGCTGGCTGTCTGAACTGGACTGCCTCCTCAAGGGTCAGAACAACACCACGAGCTAGATCAAGGCGGCAGGGGAAGGAAGAAAGCGCTAGGCTGGCGGTGAAGGCAGCTCTCTGGTGGACACTGAGCTGTCAGGCTGACTAACCGTAATTCCTTAACTTCACTTTAGCTCGCCAGCAGTGTGTTTTATAATGCAAATACAACAGTAACTTTAAAACTCTCCTTCCCTTCTGTAACACACTTTTTACCTCTATCTTGACAACTCATCCTTTAAAAGCAATTTCCAGTACAGGCAGCGCAGCACGCAGTATACCTGGCTAACCAGCTCGGGTATTCCTAGGGCCCTGTCAATTTCTTCTAGCCCATCAAAATTCCTCAGTGCCATATAAAGCTGATCCAGGAGGGCACCCTCATCACTCGGGGACTCTGACGAAGGGTGATTGCACAACAGGTCATCTGGTGAGCTGCCAAACGGTTGCCTGCGAACACATGAATATTACATGGGTAAACAGCTGCTGAAAAACAAGGACAAATAGCAGAGGATTAGTACTCAGATGGAACTAACAAGTGGAGGCAGAAATTATTTTAATAGCTGCTAATTTTCTTTAGAAACCTATTCTGAATGCAAGTCATGCTTCTCAAAGAAATAGCGTGAATAACGCACTTGTCAAGACCCTACAAGCATAGTGTATTCAACAAGTACGTGAGGGTACCGGAGAGACGTCTGAGCACTGATTTCATAATACTGGATCAACAAAGGAGCACAGGAGTCAGCATAGTGTATGTTCACTGAACACAGAAGAAAGTCTAGAGAGGTAATTTTTTTTTTTTTTTTTTAACTAACTCTAACTTTGAACTAAGTGTACTATTATAAGTGGATAAAAGAACTGATTTCCAAAAAACACCCTTCTTAACTAGTTTTCTGTCATGCTAAGCAAGTGGAAGAGGTCACAGGCAGATCTGAGGATCACCAGAGCTCACACAAACTGAACAGCGGCAGCAGAAGGCCTGAGGCAGGAAGGAGCAGCAAGAAAAGGACATCCCCCTTCTTGTGAGCCTAACCCACCTCACGGAATTGCCCACGTGGGTACCAGTCCTCGCGCTCGGTGAGGTGCCTCCGAACGGCGCCAGCAAGAATTTGGACACCGTCAGGCAGAGCGTGCGGGCTCTGCCACTCCTGCTAACCTCACCCCCGAGTTTACACATGCAAGGCACACTCACAGTTTTAAAGGCAGAAGAAGATTTATTCCACACCCAAAGGACAAAGCATACCGAGAAATAAAGCTAAATCTGAAACAGCACCTTATGGGCAGGCAAAGGAGGTATTTTACCTCCTTTTTTACTATTTTACGCAGTTCACAGCAAGATGTACTTTAAGCACACTACTACAAGATTACAACAGAAAACATGATGAGCAAAGCATTTTGCCACCAAAGACAGCTACTATCCGGTAACATACTATCCCAGGTAATTACTGAGAGCTCACAGTAGCTGCCACACATGCAAGGAGGAAACAGAACTATACGTGAACCCTTTTTACGCATCTCTCTTCGGAAAAACAAAAAAAACATGTTTGTGTAGCTAGTTTCCATAATGAAATATATAGTTGCCATGGAAGTCTAATCTCTATGTCAAAGCTACGCAGAAGGGAAGAGATATATCATGAGGCTATTTACCTAAAAAACCAAATGAAGGTAAACATGAAAACTAACAAAAATATATCCTTTTTAGTTAGATCCCAGTCACTAAAGAATAAATACATATATGCTGCATCTTTCACACATTTCAAAAATATAAACTAATCAATCACACATATAGAAAAATTTCTACAGCTCTCACAAGGGAAGAACAAAAAAAAGATCTTTCAATTAAAATGACTGCAAACTTTGAAGGAGACTTATGAAAAGGGCACCATGACCTAGAAAAGTAGTCACTGGGGGTAGTAAAAAAAAAAAAAAAACACAAAACAAAAAAAACTTCCAAATTGTACACAGGCATGAATATATAGGGTAAGAAAAAGTAAAAACTATACGTCACGTTCTGTATGTATATCTCTCTGTATGTAAATTTCTTGTTTATACAACAACGTTTAATTTTTCTCTAAAACAATTATGTCCTTTACTCACAATTTAACTGTGTAACAGGCTATATGATTGAGGAGTCATGATGATAATTAGGTTATAAAAATATAAGAATCAGGAATTAACATAATAACAAATGACATCACCCATCAATTCATCACCTCTGGGTGTAAATGATCAAAATAGGATTAATTTCAGAAAGCAAAGCAATGAGAATCTTTTTTTCACCATCTCCAGCTATCAGCAAATTTTGAGACATGTAAAGGTAACAAAAATGAAAAATTATCTGCCTGGCTTGCTGACGAAATGGCATGGCCCTGGGTTTTATTTTAGGTGTATTTTTTTTTTAGTGGAATAACTTCAAGTTATGTCAAAAGGGCTTTCGGCATATGGGCACCCTAATAAGATGAGAATTAGCACTAGGAAGTATTTTGAAAAACATGAAAATGTGAGAAAAGTAACAGAGAACATGTGAAAGTGTGAAATTTACATATAATATTTTAGGATATCCTTTCAAATTGAAAATTAACATAACGCAAGTCTTTCCTCAGACACCAATTGCTTCCTCTTTATTTTTCTCTTCATCGTACCTGCCATCCACTATTGAAAAACATCCCAATTTATACATCCATTTGTAGTCAAATTCAGAATATTTCAACATTTCTCCTTTTGACTGTCCTTTTTGTATCACCTATATAATCCGTATCTCACCTATATAATCTCTGAAGCTTTGGCAGCATCTACTGTGATGCAGAACTTTTAATTCTTCCAACACGTTAACGGTCACAGAAAAGCAATTGTAAGTATTCCTGGAACATGCATACATTTCATAGGCATAAAATACTACTGGCATAAAATGGATACAAATTTGGTGAATATTTTACGTAAGAATTCATTTCCATGAGGCTTATAAAACATGGGGCTGTAAGACCTCTCCATGTGACACCGAGACTTACCTGTTTTGGCTAGTGAAAGTAGCCTGCTCGATAGGTAAGATGCTGTCTGGCCACGGCGCGGTCTGATTGGGAGGGGCCTGCTGTTGGCTATACTGAGGTCCTCCGATATTCATCTCCAGTTCAGATGGCCCTAATCAAGAAAAGCAACCACATAACATTTGTGAAAAACATAAATTTTGATGTTAGTTCTTTCCACTGGATTATCTACTGTACAGTAAAAGCAAATGAAAACATTAAGACTTATTCATGTTGCACTTTAAAAGCATCGCGGAGTTATTGTTAAAAATTGCTTTCAAAATTCGAGCAAATATCAACAGAACTCTGAAAAGAGACCAAAACTGTAAGAGAACAGATATGACACCACAACTACATAAGCTAGAAAGAACTATTGCAGGAGATAAACATAAAAATATTAACAGTAGATAAAAGTCAATACCATAACGTACTTGCTTGTAGTTGTCAATAGATAATGTACGGACCACGCACAATGAGAGCACTTAAAGCGTTTCCTCCTCCTAAAAAACCCCCAATCTTTAATAAACAAGAGCAACTTTATATCCTCTTTCTTAGGTCACACTATTATGTGGCTAAAGAAAATTGTTCCTATCAGCACACGCTTTTAAAAATTCATGCTTTAGACACCTTCCTGCTCACACAGGAAACACTCCCCGTGGAATATCTATTTCTTGGAATACTGTTCTCATCAAATCTGGAATTGCAGTGAGTCTTTTTTTTTTTTTTTGGGATTGGGGGTTTTTTTTTGTTGGTGGGGGGGGGGGGATGCTTCAACTTTTCCAAGCCAGTGTGTGCAAAGCGGCGTAACTCCACGACCTCAGAGACTTACCCACATTCATGACCTGAGAAGGGAGCATCTGCCGCGGGCCAGGCTGGCTGCTGGGCCGCAGGGGAATGCTGGCTGTGGGGTTGCGTATCATGCCTCCTTGGATCGACCTGCTCAGGGCGCTGGTCGTGGGCGCGCAGGTCACCCTCACAGCAGAAGCCTGGCTCGCCCACTCTCCGGATGTCATGGCAGGCCGAGGGGTATTGCCACCAATCATTCCTGCACAAAAGGCAGACAGGCTCAGGTGCAGCAACGTGATGCAGAACGACTTTAGCATTACAACTGGCTGATTATCTGAATTTTTAAGAGATAAAAATGCAGCAGCTTTACTCGAAGCACGTTGTATCACAACTGCCTGTCCAGCTGTGCAAAGCTAGACAGGCAGACACATTACGCTGCTTAGCCAAGGGGCTGGAGATTACTATACGTTTTACGTAAGGAAGATCCTCCTGTCATTTCTGAAACGCTGTGAAAGGTAAGTGTTCCCGCATGCAACAGGTGCCGAGGGTGCGTGGATGGCCCTGGCTTCCTTCCTCAGGAAATGAATCACGTTGGCTGAGGCGCGCGGCACGGCTTCACTCGCGCTAAGCGAGAACGAAGATTTGAGCAAGAGCACGCTATCGCTACGCACACTTCCAAATTAGGAGGATTAAACGTAAAGGCGCACTCGCACACATCTCCTGGCAAGTCTTTTCATTCAGAATCAAGAGCCCTCTGAGCCTCAAGGCCCACTCAGGTAGGCTTGAGCCAATAGACAGTGCAGGGAAATTACTCACAGGAACTTTCCGATAGATGCTGAAGTTCATTACCGTTATTTTAGGGGAAGTCCTCCTACATCTACAGTAAACAACTGATACAGTTTATTTACACTTGGAATATGTAGACTACTACACTCTGACAGCAGTTTAAAAAAAGCCCCTGGAGCTGTTTATTCACAGCATTTAAACATTTCAGTTTTGTACAGTTACGGGACCAGAAAAACCACTGATTTCAGATCTCTAGCTGCATTTTGCAACAAACTTAAATGAATATTAAGAAAAAAAAAACTATTATTCACCAATCCAACTACGTAGTGATAGATAACCAAGGAGGAAAATCCTCTGAAGAGAGTCATCGTTTTAGCCGCAGTACAAAATTTGCTTCAATAATACAACCACAGGTTTGTTCGGTTTTATTTGTGTGCGTATTCTTTCAGTTGAAAGATGTGGTGCACTAAACCAAATGGCAGGAATACAGATTATACACTCTAACTTGTATACATAAGATGAATAACATCCGCTAATATGTATACGTAACATGAAAGTAATAGGACATTTGAAAGATCACTAGCTGACCTCTAAACTCCTCAAACAGGATATTTCAGCGTCAGGCAGTATATTTTTTTTAATACTGATGCAAACTAAATACAAAATCTTGACAGTGAATAGCCACTTAAAAGGACTTAAAGCACCCAATTATTCAAAGCTCTTAGCTGTTGTTTCACACTTGGACAGTTTCAGACTATATACTAGTCGAAATGATGGTCAGTCAAACTTCTCCTGTGATACCCCCTCTGGTATCTCTGCACAGCATTAGGCAACATGAAGAAATCAACGCATTGCAGACCGGGCACAATCCTTGATACGTACTAAAGATGTAGCACTATTACAACATCTGATGGTTCCAAAGAAGTTTTTCGTTTTAGCAAATGACATAAACGATCAGCATTTTTGTTATTTCAAATAAAAACTAATACTAATAATAAATAAATAATAAATAATAATAAATGAAGGAAAAGTGAAGGCAACAACAGGATCTCCAGAGAATACTCATGGTAAGGGCAGCAGCATTGCCCACAAATTTGTTTTGGAAAGACTGTGCCATTCCAAGACTCAGATGAATCTGGAATAACAATGTAAGCAGGTTATAACAGCCAGTACAGCGAGTTCATCTACAAGCTTTCAGGTAAGTGAACAGCAGCGCACAAAGAGCACGCCTAAAAAGTCTGCGTTTTGAAACAGAAGAAGCTCGAAACAAATAAGCCAACATATACCAGCCCACTAAACACAAATGTACAAAATACATCCTGTACTTTTAAGAGGGCTAACATTGATTAACTTACCCATGACATAGTCTATTAATCAAATATATGAGAACAAATGCAAAGACTTCTTACCTGTGCTATTGTTCCCTAAAGTTCCTTGATTTCCTATCATCCCCTCGTTCCTGCCCATCAGTCCCGGCTGAGGTATCACTGAATATGGGCTACTAGTTCTTATGGGTGGGAAATTTCCTGCGCCTGTTGGATTCTGCAGTGTGATGTCAAGTGGTAAATTCTGGTTTGGCATTAACCTGCCCAGTTGCCCTGCTCGGGGATTATTAAAAGCTAGACAGGAGGAGCAAACAAAAAGTAAAGTTACAAGAATGGAAACTTCACTTGTAAAAAACAAAAACCAAACCCAAATATACTTCAAGCTCTAGGGTTCAGTTATTTAACGCTGCATAATTTACCTAGTCTATATCTGTCTGAGAAACATCCCTTTAGACATTTTAATGTAAATTTCAGAGTGGAACATTCTGACATCAAAATGGATATGGCTTATATTTTTAAAACTTCAAATGATGCAATTTAACTTACTGAAGAACAACTACCGCAAAATATACTGCCATGTGATGTGCATACCACTGCCAATTACTCTTATACCTAGGTGGGACTGTAACCGAGTGCAGATGTCATCCTGAGGCAGACTGTCAGGATTATCTGACAGTCTTGAAAGCTTTCCAACATAAACTGGGCCCCTGAAGAAGTTACTAACACCAAGGACAGACTGAGGCTATCTTGAATCCTGTAGCCCCATTTCTATATCTCCCTCCTAAAATTTTTTACGACCCTGTCGTTAATGAAAATGAAAACTTTCGTGATTCCACAAAAATGAATACAGGGTCCAGATTTAGAGCTGTGACACCACAGTATCCTGGAAAATAGGGCTGTACTTGATGCTTACTGTCACTTTTATATAAGTATTTTCTTCTGTTGAGGCCCTCTTGTGTTTTGTGCTCTCAAAATCAGCCTCTGCAAAGAAAATCACAAGCTGGCTTAGAGAAGTGAACTTCAGCTCTTGGCTGGCGAGCAGCTGGGTCAGCTGGTCTTTGGGAAACCTTCAAGTGAATCAAACTTGTGCATGTGCACAAGTACTTCTCGAACCTGAACCAAATACTGAGCAGGTGCTTACACGATTCCACTTCTAATCAGACCCACAAAATACATATAAATATATAAATTATTTTTGCAATATTATTATTTGCAATAATTTCCGATAGCTCCCACTAGGACAGCCTCTGAGTTAATGACGTCCATTAAGCAACTTCTCTACTTTTACAGTCACCACACTGCAACGAAGTCAAAGAATTTCTTTCTTTCTTTAGACTACAGTACTGATGCTTCTGAGTTTGAGAACTCAGATGAGGTTTATCGCGCTTGTTAAAAAGTACAGAAACATCTTATTACAAAGGTCTCTCGACTTTTCTCCTTACTTCATGAAACCAGATTATAGGAGCCTGCTGCATTTTTTTATTCTCTGCTTATATGCGTGTATAGGGAATAAATTACTTCAAATACACCTCATTCCTGGCCATCAGGTCAAAATTTTCTGTTCAATATCTGTTCAAGCAAGCAAGCAAAACTTACGAGGCAAAACCAACCTTCCCAAGTTCAGGGGCACCATAAAGCCTGAGCACTGAGCTAAAACCTCACCTCAGTAACAGTTTCAGGACAGTTTGCTCTAGAAGTTTGAAAAATAACACAGACGAGGAAGTTATAATGCAGGTAGCTTTATAAGCAACGACTGATCCAACAAAAAGAAAAGCTGAAAATGCAGCACAAAATAGCAATGTGGTTCATGAGATGTGATGGTGCTCAGAATAGACAGTCAGGATGCGACCAAGGGAGGCTCTCTGCTTCCCAAGCAATAAACTTTTGGAATCTCACAAATCTAGCAGCTTTCAATTCTTTCAAAAACTTTAAAAACATCAGCTTAAAATAGTTTCAGATTAAAGTATTCTCATGTAAATGCTTTAAAAAATGAAGGCTGATCATTTCTATGGAAAAAAATCAAAATAAAAATACTTTTGGAATTGTGTATGATTTGACATTCATTCTACATTGCTCTTCTGGGAGCATAAGAGAAGTTACTCACTATGTCTCTGCACCTGTTTTCTGTATGCTCTTATACTGAAAACAAGGCAGAAAATCTCTAGGGAAATCAGACACAGACATGAGACTGAGCTGGAGAAAAAAGTTTTAGGGTGCTAATTTGCATGGGAAACGATGTTTTTTTTTTTTTTTTTAACAAAACTGCTGCTAACCAGCAAGACGTTCCCATGTAGAATTATACTGTTACTGTATCGCCAGTAGCTTTGAAAACAGATTTAAAAACTAAGATGGGAAAATGTTTCCAAAGCTCCTTTCTGCAATATGATGCACAGAAATAAATTAAATAAGACTGTATGTATATGATAAAATCAAAAGCGATTAATAAATATACTGCTTCGTAGTCCTGTACATTAAATATTTTTGATACTATGCATAATCTGAACAACTCAAGACAACTGAAAGAGCGCTCAGCAAAACCTCTGACAGAAGCAGGATGGCAAAATAGTTTCTTTTTACACTGTGGTAATGAGGACGATGTAACACAAAAAAGAGAGTCATCGCTTGCCATTATTCTTACTCTAAAATATCTAAAGAATATTAATGACACAGTCATCCAAATTCATTGGCTACCCATGAAAATGTTAACACTTCCCTGCAAGAAACTTTAGGAAACGAGCAAACACATCTCATTTAGAAAGAAAGTAGATAAGAGGAAGAAATATGAGCCAAAGCAAAGGGTTATCTTGGGAAAGCCAAAAGCCTATGCCACCTTGGAAAGAACCAGCAGAGCTCATTTCAGACAGAATATTCTTAAGATTTCAAGTGCACAGAGATTTTTCTCTGACTTATGTGCCGCTGCTGTTAGTCTTCTCATACTTACAAAAATGAGCACATTAAACACAAGCATCTTTGTTTTAGTAACATTCGCACTGTTTCAATATCTTATAGTTTAAGCAGCTACGATGTTTTTAATATAATTGTAAATATTAATATTTATTTGAATATTTCTAGTAAAAATTTGAGTTAACTTGAAAGTGGAATGGTGCTATTCTTGGAAAGAATGATTTAATAGTGACAAAATGCCTACAGTTTATCGAAAGCATTATCTAAATCCTATGTTTGAAAAAAATACACTGGTGTACATTTAAGGAGGTAACAGATGCTGCCATCCTAGCCGGCAAGGGAAAAAAACAGGGAAAAAACTAAGCAGTGGCTTTTATGCTATTTTATTCTACATTCATCCCTGCTAAGTCTCCTGTCTTGTCTGCTTTCAGTGACTTTATAGTGGCAGACCAATATTTTTCTCCTGATTTGTAATTTAATTAATAAAGTTAAAGAACTGGCAGCTAGAAAGTGACTCAATTAAAAGCCACAATTTCAATTTTAATTTAGGCATTCCTTCTAATCATATGTCTTTCTATTAATCTTGCGGTTTTAGAAAGAACACTTTCTGTCATGCTTTGAAAAGCTTTTCTCTCCCCTTTTATCAAAAGAATTGGTTAAAAAATAGAACCTGCACCAAAACAAAATGCACACATTCACAATCTGAAAAGCCTCACAATACTAGCGTAATATATAACCATAGCAGGTGTCATATTTTCTGACAGAAAGATGTTATTTTGAGAGTAGCTCACAAAACTCCTCAAAGGGGCACCGACTTCCAGCACACTATGCGAATTATATACGCTCTCCAAATGCGTTTCAAAATAACACAACCGCAGATGGCGCCATCTCATCACAGACAATGAGAAAATGCTGGAAAATTGTCTAGTTTCTAGCCTGGCCGACCTAGAGGCACCACAACAACGACTTTTTGGGTTCTCGGTCTTTTCCGGATACTCGCATAAGGCAAACTCACTGCTCTGTGAAATCCTCATTGCTGGTTTCTGGGTGCCCACAGACGTGCCGGGGCTGCTGTCACTGGTGAGCTGCATGAGGTCATTGATGATGGCTTGCTTGTCAACCGAGCCTGCTGGCGCGCCTGCTCGGCTATCGGGGAAAAGCTGCGGTAACTGGCTGTTCTGTAGGTCATCCAGGATCTCCTCCAAGTTGTCCAACTCGCTGCCTGGCTGCGAGGAAAAAAAGAGCACACGTTGTGGCTCATCTGCTGATGACGTCCCTGCTCTTCCAGGGCGTGAAGTAATGAGCAAGTGCTATGCCCGCAGAGACTTGAGATGTTTCCTCCAAGACGCCTGGGGTGGAGGAAGCTTACTAGGTTGTAGAGAAGAGCCTGTGCATGCTTCCAGGGCTTCGTTACCCTGCGTTTGGGGAACTAGTGCTGCCCGTAGCATTTGTGCCCCGCTCACACCCCAGCGTCAGGAAGTGCAGACAGCCGCACTATACGTACCTCGTGCAAAGGGGAACCGGGAGGATGCTCGCTATGCACTCTACGACCAGTACAGACAGCATGCATAATTTGGCAGAAAGAGACATCCAACAGTGATGAAGATGGAGATTTATGTGGGTATAACAAATATTCCTTTCAGCACAATCGTATTTCTAGTCTCTTTATGACTTGATTAAAAGTGTGTATGACGGAAAAGTTGCTTCATGGCTGAAACAATTCTCCATACATATTTTCTTCATTACATTAGAAAAGGTAACACTAAATAACTCTACAGCAATTAACTGGAGAGAAATATGTAATGCAATGAAGTTCTATAAATTAACAATTGTCAATTAGTTAGTAGATTTCAGAATTTATTTTTCTCACACCTATCCAAGTAAGTGAAAATTACATCTCTGCAGCAAGAAAAAAAGTTACCTAATTATATTCAACTGAATAGCATAAACATAAAGATGGCAAAAAATCTAAGTCCATCCCATACCAACAGAAAAATTGACCTGTATGTTTTTCTTAAAAATACCCGTTTTCATCAGTATTAGTATTTTGTCAACTTCTCTGCCTCTAAACACTCAGAATTAAAATCTTTTGCTCATTGAAACTTGGAAATTATTACCATCTATCCAGTTCCAGAACTTGCAACATGCAAGACTAAAAAAACTCTTTTGAAGAGTAATAACAAATAAGCAGTACGGTCTCAGTTTCCACCAAGCTGCACAGAAAATATTTTCTGACAGTATTTCTAAGAAAAATCTACTCAGACTTAATGCCTTCATTAGGAATTCTACCAACACAAAGGAGAGGCAGAGGGTGGCTGAACATACATGACGGCTAGGGAACAGAAAAATAACAGCGGAAGCTTACACACATGAGAAATACAATTCTTCCTGGTTTTTTTCTTCCTACTGCTACATTGTGCACTTACTTTCTTATCTGCAGTAGGCTTATTCTGCAGATCACAGGGCAGTGTAGAAAAACCTGAGACGGCTTAAACCAGCCACCGAGGGTTCTCAGTCCAGCTACGAAGCAGAGTATGAGAGTTTGTACTGAACTCATGCTGCCAGTTAACCTGCTCCTGGGGAGCTGAGCTATTTTATTCAAAGGTAGCTAAGATGCATCTAGGTTAAATCTCTACAAAATTTTTTTGGATGATTTAATGCAGATGAACACGGTATTACTCTTTACTCCTTCCAGATGACTTCCTAGGCTAACAGATCAGAGTATATGGTGCAAAAGAAGGAAGAGTTTACTCCGCTACAAGGGAGCGGGTGGGCTGATCCAGAGGCTGATGTTTTTGGCAAAATGATGGGAAATCACAGAATCAGTGGACTAGAAGAAAACTAAAGCCTCAAGGCAAAATCAGTAGATGCTGTTCCCAACAGCAGCTCATATCTTCTTAAACACGTCCAGTGAAAGAAAATCCACAGCTTCCTCAGGGAATTTCTTTCAAGCACTCTGCCATCCTTACCATTAAAATGTTTTTCCTCAAGGTTGATACAAAATTTTCCTCACTGAAACGTAGGCCCTTCCTTCCTGTCCTGTTTTGCATCTGGAGAACAAACTGTGTTCCCCTTTCTTTTTCTAACCTTTTGTGTATTTGAAGGCTGGTATTCGCCTCTGTGGTTTTTAGGCTGAGGTTAAACAATCTCAACTCATTCAAACTTCCCTCTTAGCACAGAGCCTGTCTTCTAGACCTTCTATTATTCTTGCAGCCCCTGTGCGCTGTCCTGAATTGATCCACATTTTTGTGGAAGTGCAGCGCCCAGGACGGTACCTCAGCTGACGCCTTGCAAGTGCTGGACAAAGCAGAGAGTTTATTCTACGCACATTCCTTGGTATATTCCAGGATAGCTGGTGATTTCTTGCACTAGGTGACATCGCTGACCCTCATTCCTCTCGTCACTATCACCTCGGACACAGTTCTGAAAAAGTGCGATATAACCAGCTGTTCCACTTTTTTTTTTTTTTTTTAAATTTGTGCAGTTGATTATTCCTGACTTCCTGACTAGTTGTAGCAAATAGCATTTGTTCATCCTGAACACTCTTAAGATTTTTACTCCCTATCTCCTAGTCGCCACCGAATTTGAATTCCGTCTCCTCCAGTGCATTTGCATATATTCAAGTGCCACATGCAGCTTTCCCAAGTATACTCTCTATTCTATCATCAGGTCACCAATGAAGATAACTCCTGCAGTACCCCTCCATTTTGACAGCGAATCTTTAAACAAGTACTTGGTGTGTAAGCACTTCCAAGCAGCTTCCTGAAACTACTCAGAGCAGTTTCATCTTGACCATCCAACTCTAATCTGCTTATGAGAATGTCAAGAGTAACTGTGCCAAAAAGCCTTACTAAAACCAAGACACATGACACAAACTGCTTCTTCTCTCATGCCAAAAAGCCCATTTACACTGTTTCAGAAGGAAAACAGATTGGTCTGACACTACCTGTTCTTGACAAATCCCCATGCTGACGCGTTACCTTCCAAGCACTTACAAACCGCGCACCAGCAGAAAAGGTCGAGCCAGGAGGAATCTGAATGTGGCTATAAGAAATCTAAATTGTTACGGGGAAAGGTGGCAGGCAGATTCAAAAAAGGCACTCCAAGAGACAGGCAAGAAATGTTCACAGAAGCTACATGTTGAGTTCTGAACGATCTGGTAAAGGAGACTGATGTTGAGCGTCGTAAATTATAAAAGGGTGATTCAACAGCCTTTGGGGGAACTAAGACATATGGACTTCACCAAACATATTTTAGCCAACAGTAAAGGCAGGTTTTACGTGCTGCAGGGCTTTTTTCTTTGTGTTCTGGGGGAGAATTTGTCTTTTTTTTTTTTTTTTTTTAAATATTCAGGCTAGAGTAATTCTTTGTTTAAACATCAGGCATTAAAAAAACAGGGACAAACTTATTGATTCAAACGTGTCATAGAACTGCATTCCCCAAGATGCTGTTAATTCCTCTCAGGAAGTGGCAAAGAAAGGCCAATTACAACAGAAGTATTATAACAGAAATACACAACCCTCCTCTTTTCCTTTAACATAATCATTATCTCATATTTTATCTGTATTTTTTTTCTGATGAGATCAGGGTTCTCAACTGCTGCAGAAGTTCCAAGACAGTTTTGGTTTTAGAATTAACACCAAGCTGTTAGGGTCGCCTAAGTCTTTCCAAACCCGCCCTCAAATGGCACCATATGTGCAGAAACAAGCATTTAAATATTTACTCGGTGAGTTTCATGGGATTTTTCTTTTATTCATAGTCCATATTTATTTTGTTAATGGCCTAAATCGAACTTTATGTAAATAGAAGGCACACCCTAAACTCCCTGTAATACAATTATTTGTCATGAATTAAAAAAAAAAATCCTGATAAAAGCACAAAGTATCACAAGAAAGTTCTTGTGCACATATTTTCACTATCTTTAAGCAATGCAATTACAGCAACCTCCATAGAACTGAGACACTAAATCCCAGAAAACTCTAGGTAGATCATGTTTAGAAATATTTTTGTATTTTAAAAAATACCTAGTTTTTAAAGTGCTGATCACCATTATGTAGAAAAACATAGATTAAAACGTAATTACTTTAAAAATTATTTCAGGTCTACTGAATGCAAGTTCACCTAACCGCTAAGTTTGGTTTACAAATCGTGCCATTTCAAAATCTAGCTTCCACTGAAGGACTCTTTCCATGGCTTATGAAGGACTAGAAAAGATGCTAAATTGTACTCTCTGGAGCTCCTTCCTGCCACGGGCAATGCCCACAGCTTGCACTGACGCGGTTCTGAAGTTCAGTCTCTCTCGGCTTTGTCTATTTTCCTTACAAGCATGTATGACTATGGATGAGGTATCTAGGACTCTCTTCTTAAAACCGAGTGCCTTGTGGTGGGGCTACAACCTGAAACTACACCTGCTTTATACACTCTTAAGTTTCATTACCCTACTTAGCACAGGCAAAATGTTTTGACCAAAAAAGGTAAGCAAAAACAACCCTCAGCTCCAAACTAGCCATAGATTAAAAAAGGAGGAAAAAAGTAAATCAGAAGTGGAAACAATATATATAGTCTTTCTCTCCCCCAACTGCAAGCAGCACACACTTGGCTAGAAACCCTGTTTTATTATAAGGACAATCTACAACCAACTTCTGGAGGTAGGTTTGTAGAGTTCTGACTAAAAACTGTTCAGAAAATGCAATCCCCACTCTCAAGTTTTAATAGAAGTCAAAGCAGCAGCAAACCTCCTTCATCAACCTGGTGGATTCTGGACATTAAGAAATAGATTTTGGGAGGATGAGGGTCATGTGTAAAGAAAACATTTTAGTATTGGGAAGACCCGACTGTTACACGTTCCTGAAGATCTCCAGCACAACGCTAGTGGGAACAGCAGCATTACAATGTCACTGTCAGACAAACGGACTGACTCTATTGTCTGCTGGCTAAAAGAAAAGGAGAGCTCACTTGGAGATGACAGGATTTCATTCCACACTATGCCAAGTGCTTGCTCAGAGAATAAGTCACTTCAAAGGTATATATCTTGGTTTCTTCATCCATCATAGGAATATAACAATCCACATCCAATTCTGCAAAACAGTTTTGTAGTGCAAAATAACACAGCTAACCAAAATGTTTCCTTCGTACGGCAATACATGACAACACTCAGTGCATGATGTTTCTGTGATTTGCCCCACGCTTTCACTCTCTTTTTCCCCCCCAAGCTGTTGGCCGATTTCAGTCAGACTTCACAAAGAACAGCAACCTCAAATAAGCAATGTTTCTAAAGTATTACTGTGCGATGTACTGTAGATGACAGAGATCCAATTATTGCTACCACTAAGGTAAAGAGCAACGATTGCTCAGGCTTTGCATTGTGCTGTTTGGATTTTGTGGGGTGCGGGGGGGAATATGAAGAACTGGCTGATCGGTATGCTGGTTGCTTTGGACCAGCAACAGCACGTGCAGGACAAAATCCAGTGTTTTGGAGATGTACAGGGAAGGAGGGGGCCAGGTGAAGCTAGACCGACAGCCTGCGCACAGCAGAGCCTCGCGAGCGCAGGCAAAGCGAGGGGGAAGCAGGCTTACTGCTAAGGGAAGACCTAGAGAACAAATCTGGGGCAAATCAGGAGTCGTTATTTCTGCCGCCTTCCTTATTTTAACAGCGGAGGCTGGTACGAGCACTCGTGGTACTCGACAGCAACGGTCCCGCGACTGCTGTTGCCGTAGGAAAAGCCCTGCCTCGCCTCTCCTGCCCACCCTCTCCCCCAGAGCCGCCTTAGCTGGAAGTGCCGTCAGTCCAACAGGGCTCGGGTAGGAGCATCGCCTCCACACCGAGGCGGGGAGAAAGGCAGAGAGGCCCTGGCACTATCCCCTCTCCCATTTGCGAAAGGTTTCCTGTCAGTTGCTGGTCTCCGGAGAAGCGTATGTTTAAACACGCTACCTAGAAGACTGCTATTTTTAGCTCACAGTGGTACACTTCAAGGCATTTCCTCTGCAGAAAGTCACACCAAAAGTAAAAGGAGAACACGTAACGGCTCTTCTGCCCTAGACCGCCCCGGTCCCTCCTCGGGCAGAGGCCACGCCACTACTGCTTCGCTGCTACCATTTCCAGCGAAGCTGCACGCTCCGGTGACTAATTACTTAAAAATACAGCATTCCTCCGGGAGGATAAGTTTTAAATAAACCTGCAAAATAGGTAACACAAGCACACGGCTAATTTTTACACCAAGGAGGAAGAAGCGGGGGGAGGGAAAAGGACGCAGGAGGATGGAAGAATTTAGAACAAGAATCTGTGTTCTAGTCCGGTGCTAAATAGTTCCAGCTTTGATCTAAATTTAGGCAGCGAGCACTTCCTGTGGGAGACCGTCTTCCAAAGCTGCGAAGGTTTTGATGCTAAATATTTTCAGTGATTTCATAATTGGGGTAAAGTGGTTATTTGTTTAAAGTCTTGGCCTTCAGCTAGAAAAATGCTTACATTATTTCATATTCCTCACCATTTCCTCTCCTTCTCCATGTTGGATTTCTCCTGTGTATTTAACTCCACGTTTCACTGAATTTTAAATAGGTCTGAAAATTATATAAAAAACCAACAGCAACAACAAAAGCCCCAGTGTCAGTATTCTTACAGAACAACTGCTGCTACTGACTTCTCCTTACCCAAACGCTCATTAAGCCCCAGTACTTCAGCCCTTATTACTATCATGACTCTTACATTACTCTGCGTTTTTCTTACAGTCCCAATGTCTGGACCTTCTTTTAGCTCCAGCTCCTGTCGCTCCTGAGAGGGAACCTTTGTCTTCAAATTTTAAGAAAACGCAGTACATCTACAGTCCATAATCCAGTCCCCTCAATCCTCCCCTTGAGCTCTAAATCATGAAGCCTAAAAAGTCAATATACTATTCATTTTTATGAGGATCATTATGTCGGCGGCCTGACTTTCAAATGCTTGAGGTTAGCAATACTTGAAGAAACCTAAGTCTCTTTCTTTAAATTTAGTTGACAGTTACACGATTACATTTAAGGTGAGACTCAGCTTGTCTATTTTTAGTCATGAAAAGGTAAGGCAGTTAGTTTAAACTAGTTGTCTAGACTACTACTAGTCAACGATAACATTGAGAGAGCAATTTACCTTACCTATTTTAAACACACTTTAGGATAATATAGATCCTCCTCCCCGGGAATGATTTTTCTCTTTTTCCATAAACCATACAGGGAGCTTACAGGGCTGGCTTGGACTGCATACTTAACTTCTTACAGGGGACAAGACCTACGCTTTGTAAATGGGTTCTTAACAGCTATTTCTAAGCTGTTATTTGGATAGTCCACAGAGATCACGAAACTGAAAATTTTAATTCTTGGGAAGAAAAATATCGAGAAGTCATGATTTTGTTCTAATCAGTTATTTACACGATCATAAATTTTTTGGTGACTACCGAATTCTTCGTTCTTGTCCAGGATCACATTCTAGGGAATCAAAGTATCTCTGTCTTCAATCCAGTGTTGTCTTAGGTAATGCCATCGACTTCAACGCATAAGGATTGAACTAAGAACTGAATTAAATTTGTCATTTTTACAATAATTTATTCTTGCCAGCTTAGCTGTGAACTTCTTGATATCAATGTTTTCTTGGCCTAACAAAGCACTAAGTTCTCACTGAGATCTGAACACTCCCTCCCTAGTTATATCTAAGGCACTACAACAGAGTAGCGGTATGCAGAATTAAACTAACATCCAGGCTTGAGGAGTAATCCCTGAAGAAAATAGCATATTTTGGCTCAGTTTCCCTCTAATGCATAGGAAGGACTGAAAGATTACAATTGCTCCTACATAATGGCAATACCTGTTAGGTCCTATTGAAATTAAAGTAGTAAAGTAATCTGAGAAAAAGCTTAGATAACTGCGATTATAACAATGCAGTGTAGTACGTTTGGCCTCTAGGTTTTGTGATTAGGACCACTGTTGTGAAAATCGTCAACTGGTCTAACGGAGCTTACTGAAACAACAAAGTTAAAAAAAGCCAGTGCTGTGATTCAGGGCTAAGAAAATGTGGTCTATCCATCCTCAGCCTTAAAATGTAATATAAAAAACCCCTAAAAATTATTTATCTATATATATAAACACACAATAGTAAATATAAACTATATTCATAAAAATAAACAAGTCCAAGCCCAATCAGCACATTAAAAATACACTATATTGTGAAAGTGAAGGATACAGCTGTGAAAGAGAGTCTTGCACTTCTACGCAATGTTCGATCTGATCATGATTTACAAACTAAGGTGTCATGCACAGGGCACTGTCTAGGGATTAATGACCAGCTGGGAGAGTTGATAGCATAGGGCAAAGCTAAGGATCATTAACTCCAGCTGCTTATAAACTCCCCAGAAAATGCCTTATGCTAAAATTGATAGTGTAATTATCCATTTTATAAATAAAATAAGCACTAATATTGAAGTGGTAAATTGCTTCTACAGTGTCACTATTTTTGCAAAGCCCTGAAAACCTGATGATTCTGGGTGACATGAATAAGATGCTTTTTGGAAGCGAATTCCACACGGAGGCCAGCGAAACAGCACTTTTTAGCACAGAGCCTAACAACATACAGTCTATTAGTAGTTGGGCTGCACAGCAAAGTAATCTTGCACAGACTACAGAGAAATTCTGAATAAAAATTCTAGGCAAATAGCCGCACACAGGAAGATATGATCAGGGCTCTGAACAATTAACCATCTACAGGAACTGGTTGAATACATAAACTTTTTAAGTTAAAAAAAACAAACAAACAAAAATAAAAAACCCCTAATTGGCACAGAAACACAGGAAGTCTATTTGCCTTGATTTTAATTTGCAGACGAAGTATAATACAAAGAGTAGTAATATAAAGTTTGCATCAGCCCTTTCAAACAGCTCCTGCCCTTGAGCATGAACCTGCTTTACATGGCAGAAGTACAGTTATTATGCCGGGTTAGCCCAAAAGCCCCTCTAGCCCGCAACGTTTCAATAGCAGCCTGTGGGAAATAGTACAGGAAGAGCTGTGAATACATTAGTATTAACCAGCAATTACCAGTATTTCCTCTTACTCTGACTACCAGCTGGGAAAGGTTACCTTAGCTTTTAGTCCCTGTGTGATCCATCTCCTTCCCAGCAGAGTCTCCATCACACAGCTGGTCTGCTCTTTCAGACAAGAGCAATGATCACAACTTACTAAACATGACCTGGAAAATTGAGTCAAGACTGGATTGCAGAGGACAGGTAACAGTTTACTTATCAATAGCCTCTTCAGGTGTCAAGGAATTATTCTTAAAGGAAGTCTGGAAAAAAATAAAATAGAAATGCAGGCCTAGCACATCTGATTTACACACAATCCAAAGAATGTCTTACCTGTTCATTAGGCTCAAAGCTTATCTCTTCTTTTTCCGTCCTCATAGCTATTAACTTTGTGCTACCGGAAGGGTCTGTCTTACTGTCCAACCGCTCCAGTTTTGGGGGTATATCTGGTAAACCAATATCTTTAGTATCATCTTTATCTAGCAAGTAGCGAAGTAGTGCATTATTATTCTTCTTAGGACTCGCTGGCTCCTGCTTAACAGTCACCTCTGAACCAGGAGCTGTGCTACTGGACTCCTGGTTCAGTTCTTTGCCTGTGGCCTCAGCTGTGAGCTTGGCCAGATCTACAGGAGAACTGCTGTCCTGCAATAGTCTGTGCAAAATTTTATGCTTCTCCTTGAGCGAGGTTCCATGTGCTGAACCAGACCCAGACAACCCTCCCGCGGAGTCCTTGCTAACGTCTCCCATCGTGCTGGACAACGGCGAAGGCTCCATCTGATCCGATTTGGTGGTCAGCAACTGTAAGAGCTTTGTCTGGCTTTTTCCGTCATGCAGTTTATTCTGTCCATCAGGTCTCTCGCCACCGACAACCGGTGGCAGGTTGCTGTCGGCATTATCTTTCTGTTCTCCTGAATGGCAGCTGCTCTCTGCTTGTCCAGTTGTACCTTCGGATTGCTCCCCATAAAGTCCAAAGCAGTCTTTAGAGTCCAGGCTTCCCATCTTGCTCAGCTGGGGAGGATTCATATTCACAGGGGAATTTTGTAAATTTCCCATTTTTAGGTCAGGCGAAGCCAACGACGAGCCAAGCGAAACTCCATGGCCCTCACTGAGGGCCTGAAGCGCGTTCAGGGAGCTGTTGGTGTAATTATGGCTATTTCCTGTGCTGCTGCAAACTCCCACAGGTGAATGCAAGCTTCCTGCAGGGGAAAACTGACTGGGTGGGATTCGAGGGCTTCCTGCCACTCCCGGGCTCACACGATGCCGTGGGGAAAGCATAGAGTTTGGCTGCCCGGGGTTCATACCAGGGCTGCTTTGTGAGGGACTATTCATTTTTAGTGCATAGTTACTACCCTGAGGAGTGGATGCTTGTATGCTTGACACATGGTTCATTCCCCCTGCACCACCAAACCTGCCTGCTGGCATGCCCATTTGTTCCTTTGGGCCATTTATGGCAAAATTTATATTGCTACTGATGGTCATATCCTGACCTGGGTTCCCACTGCACATGGCCTGATGGGCAGGGCTGCTGGAGCTAATTGGGTTCAATATCTTTCCCATTCCTTGTCCAGTCAAGTCCTGATTCATTCCACAGACGTTCTGCTCTCTATGTGGCAAGGGGAAGAAAAACAACCTATTAGCTAAAATGACAGTGGCCAACTTGCAATTACATTTCAAAAAAAGAAGCAAAACCCCAAACCTCACTTTAAAATAACACAACAAACCTACAATTAAAAATAAATCGACAATTTGACAAAAGCGATACGCAACTACCAACACGGCTGCACATTAACAGTACGGTTCTTCAGTAGCTCATTAACAAATCAGTGGACTAGAGGAAAAACAAAATTATACCTCATTTAAATGACGGTCATTAGAAATGCAGACAGATTATAATTTCAGACTCTCTCCATATAAAGTATATCTTTTCTTTACAATACAGCAAGGGCTAACTTCTATTAAAAGAGAGAAATCTCATCTTATGACCCAACCAAATAAATGTTTTACAGGACAGCTGTAGACAGCTGTTTTCTGGAGTTTTGAATTTCTATGAGCTAGCCTTATCACAAGCCTGCAGTGGGCTATGTGCCCACCAAGTTCATTGTGAAAAGCAAGTTTAAAAAGTGACATTTCTGCACTGCCAGAGTATTTTGATACTGCTTACCGCTCCAAAAAGTATGTGAGCCAAGAAAACTACTGGATACTACCTCAGAATGGGACCAGTGTGTTAGTAATCTAACACGGCGCAGACATTTAGGGAAAAAAAAAAGAGGAAGAAAGAAAAAACATACATACATACAAGCTGAAAATCATATTTTAGAGATGAAGGCTATAAGGGGGAGGAAACGGAGAGGAGATACACAAGGGAAAAGCTTTTGTGAGGGCACCTAGAAGGCACTTCTCCTTTCCTTAGCACACTTTAACCAGTTTATGTGAGGATGCAAGATACTTTTAACTTCTGTGCTAAAGATTTCACCTAAAAATCTGACATATTCTCAAATGCTAAGAGGTATAAAAAAGACACAGTCAAAGAGATTAGGAAGAAAAAAATAAGCCTCTGAGACAAATCAAATCAAATGTGGACTTCCAAAAACAAATACTAATGGAACGTTTCTGGTTTATGCTTTTCAGTTAGATTAGAAACATTCTTTTCACAGAGTAAGTGAAGAAAAACCTTCCCATTTTGCCAATGCAGGAGAAGAAGAATTAAAACACACATAGTAGGGAAACTTGTTATTCTGTGTTTGTTAGCTTAGGCATACAGGCAAAGGTGAATGTTAACTGTAAAAAGAGAGGTGGATTTTTAAAAGCTTACTACATTACAATAAAGCTTACTATATTACAATATTATCAGTGTTCTGCTAAAAAAAATGAGAATATTTATAAGTAGAATTTTTAACTAAACAGTGCTTTTTTTTAAATTTAAAGGCCAGCACTTCATGAAATATCAAACATATTCACCGATCCAAACAAAACAAAATTTGAAATTTATAAAAAGGTTTTGGTTAGGTCTCTTTCCAAATCTTCAGTCTCTGTACAATGGTTTCAGTTCTAATACATTTGGAGCTCTTTTCTTCTTCTCAAACAAGTAGTACTGAGGATACAGGGAAACAGCACTGTAATTACAACCAGCAAATAAAATCTGAAACAAAATCTGACACAAGTATATCAGTACATGCAATGACTTAATTCAAATTTTATTTTTAAGTTCTTAGGCCAGTGACTATTCATCCCTGACATCACCTGTGCCTTTTTCATTTTTGTAACTAAGAGTGGTGGCATTTCTTAGAATTACTTGCCTGAAATCACTACTCCAAGCCCCGAAAAAGATGAGGAAAGAAGAACCTTAAAATACGTGTTTTTTCCAAAATGCGGTTCTAACAATCACAATATATTATTTAAAGACCACCCATGCCTAACATAAGACTGATTCTGAACTACAGGAATTTAATCTTTCAAATGTTTCAAGATTTAGTTACATCTGGAAAGTTTCTGGTGTCTACTACGCAAAATACAGGAAATTGAAAGACTGAAATTAACAACATGAGGTTAAAGAATAATTTGTAAGGTTTAATGGCAGATCTTGATGTGAAAATCCAGCATGTGATCTGTGTAACTACTGAAATCATCTTCCCGTCTGTTCCTGCTGTAAGTGTTGATTTCAAAAACTCACTTTGTTTTCATGCTATCAGTTCTAGGTCAACTGAATGTCTATCAGTCTAAAAAAAGTTATTTACTTCGGTAACCTTGCATTTTACCCATCTCACTGCAGAAAGTGGGTGTAATAAACTCACAAAGATTACCTTTGAAGCATATGCAAGGAGATTACAAGCTGAGGTTCGCTAGTAGTCTGAGAACGGATGAGCTTGCTCTTCGTTTGGGCAGAAACTATAGTGCCGTCGGACAAAGAAAACCGATAAACAGGACTGAATGCTAGTCCCTGCCTCAGCACTGCAAGGAAGCAAAATAACAGAATTAATAAGAAACTATGATGCAAGTATCTTATACGCACAAGGTCTGACGTTCTAAATCCATCAACGCTGATACCACAGACGCTGTGTAATTTTTCAGGAAATCAGAAGAAGAATTTTGAAAATAAATAGATGTGATGCATATAAAATAAAGGAGCTCAGCGCAGAGCGATCAAGGAAAAAAAAATTCTAAGAACTGACAATAGTAACAGGACAGATATTGTGAAACACAAAATATTTCAGGAGTGGGTCAGGAAGTCCTTGCTGTCTATCTCCCTTTTCTTCTGCTACGTCTCTAAATCCTTTTGTTGCTCATACATTTTTTCATCTGTATCAGCTAAAACTAGATGTTTAATATAAATGTCTCCAGTTTCTAGATCATCTCTTCTCATTAGTCTCTACCTTCTCCTCCTTATTGCCTGTTTAAATAATCTTGTAACAGTCACTATCACTACTTCTTTAATTTAAAAATTTCATATATCTCTTACATGGGAAGAATTAGAAATAAGAACAGGTGGAATAAGCAATTATTACTTTTTAAAGAAGAAGCAAAAAATTTGTAGCTCAAATAAATTACAAATATAATTACCTAAACTAAAATTGGGCCTCTGCTACCCTTCTCCAGCGTTAGATATGACTACATTTCAGGACTGGAGTTTATTTCACTACACACATTCTGCAGCTGTTGGGTTTCGATGTAAATCTGAACTCCGCCAAATTCAATTCTCTAGCTCCCACAGCTCCCTGTGACATCTCTTTAATTAAAACTAAAAATAACGTTAGGAAAAATAAAAACTTCAAACATTTCTTATACTGCTTACTCTTTGCCATCAATGAAACAAGGCTAATAATCATTTTCAATTTCTAGTCCAGAAGCTATTACATTGGGAATGTAGATATTGCAGGAGGCAAATAGTCAGCTTCACAAGGTTCCTGTCCATATAATTATTTAGGAGGAAAAATAGGAACGAAAGCACTATAAATAATTTTAATTTCCTATTTTTTCATATAGAGAAATATTCTGTGTTTTTTATTTAATAATATTATCTGATCTTCATTTCATTGCTTGCTTTTTAATTTTTCCTGTCATAATAAAACGACACGGCTTTCCAAGAGTGGCTTTTTAAAAAAGTCTCCTCTACAGAGCTAACAGACCTTTCCCGCTTGCAGTACTGGTTACGATCGCTTTCCTTCCCTGTCCCCCCACTGTTATATATTGTTCTGCAAGGTTTTAAAGTATTATTTAGGCAGTGAGAAAACAGGAAGCACAATTTAAACAACCAGAAGGGCTTTTTCAGAGTAAAAATGTAAAGAAAAACAAAACCCTACCACTCTGAAACAATACAGAGCAAAATTTCACTGTTAGGTATGTCATTGTTTCAGTTTAACCTTTGGGCACCAGAAGGTCCAAAGCTCTTAGCTTTAGCATATACCCCATCAGGAAATTCCAGCGCTCAATGCCAACAGGATACAAGTGAAATCTCTACTTAAATCATTTTCCAAACTAATTCTTTAAGCAAACAAGAATGTTTCCGTATTCCTCTTGAGGAAATGCTATTTTTCTGACTGTGGCCAATAAAAACTTGCCATATATTTTGTACTTTATATTGAGAATTAATGTGAAAGGTTTGCATTTCTTATTGTTTATGAAGCTGATGCTGAAATTTTTTTCCACTGTGACACTCCACGCAGGAGATCTTTCCTTTATTTCCTTCTATTTCCAAACCATAACAAAAGCCTAACGTAAGTAAAAAAAATGCAAGGTATTTTTCAGTCAAACACAAAGACGCTACTGACCAAAATACACTCTGTTTTGCTTCTCCATCCTACAGCGCACGGGAAGACGTTTCAGTCGTTACTCCTCTCTACTGTTGGATCCTTTGGCAGCAAAACAATTCCAGAGCTTCTTGTCACTCTTTGTCTTATCACTTACACTCTTTACTTCTATAAGAAGTAAAGAGCCCCCTCATTCAGACTAATACTACACAGAGCCTTTCCTGCAAAATGGTGCAGCTAAACCCCCAAATATGTATACTTTCATCATTTCAGAAATAGTTTAGAGAGGACCCACTCCAACACCCGCACTAAATGAAGGAGCTGCTAATTTGAGGACTGAAATAACAAGTGGCTGGATGCCATAACAGAAGCTCCTAAATTACCTTCGGCACAGGCAAATGCTTACTGTGAAAATGCTCTCTTAGTCCTTATAATAATTTTAATTGCATACTATATTCTTCAGCTCTACCTGAAATCACAGCCTCAGGTTGTGAACTATTAGCTCTCCTACTGTATATACCCCAAAAGCTGTTATATACAATATTATGGTATTTTTTGTGCCCCGAAGTTCCTAACTAACATGAAGGTTTCATTACACCAGAACATCTTGAAGAACACTTAACTAAAGCTGGATGATTAAAGTTTTTTGTATATTTGGTGGAATCATTGGAGACTCCAATTAAAATTGAGTCTCCAAGACAGCATGCCAGTTGTTGAAGGACTATGGTACTATTCCTTATAGGCTAGCTATAAACCTTGGTCTAAAAACATGAGCCCAATCTATGATGCTCTTGCCCTGGGAATGGACTGTTCCACAGTTATTCTCCACTGGGTTTAAAAGAACTTTCACGAGGATTATAGAGTGTTGATCTGTTTTGCAGTTTGGATCTGTGTTATTAGAATTAGCAATGACGGGACCTTAAGAAAAGAAAAATCCCCGTTCTCTACCACAGAAACCTCATGGGGAACCTTTCCGTATGCAGTACTGTCCGACATCTTATTTTCCATAACCTTGATCACGTAGATGTGCTTGTGGTGTATCCTGTAACACTGATCAACTAGATACAGTGCAAATGGTGTAGGCTTCCAGACAACCTGAGCGCTGCATCTTTGGTAAGTCACACTGAGGGTTTCTCACAGCAAATATGACAGTAAAAGCCTATTTCTGAAGAGAAGTGGAATATAGGTCAATGAACTGCAACATGTAAGCTGAGATTCTGAAGAATAATGTGTAGTGAATGGTATCTGGGACAACACTGAAAAGCATTTCTTTCTGTCTTTCTAAAATAATTGCAATGATCTGAAGATTTAAGGCACCCACCAACATGGCACGCTTATAACAAGAAGACTAAGGAGGAAATGGAGAGAATGGTGGAAAATCTCTCTCAAGAGAGCCATCAGTGCATTAGAGAAAATATTTTTAAAAAGGTCAGTAGCCCGTGATTGTTCCATGTAGGTATAATACAAAGAGAACACAACAAACAGATATACATGACAAACAGTTTAAATATAGAGTGTGCTAAAAATATGAAACCTAACCTTCCTGATGATGCCTCTTGGCAAAAGATATTTCTCCCTCATGCTGTGAATGGAACCTTTGAATGCATCTTCTCACCAAATCCTCCCAGCCAGGTTTCATGGCTGCTCGCATGGTACTTGTGTCCAGTGAAGTTATTTTGCCTGATTTTGGATAAAACATTCATTATAGCAATTTACCCTTGGGAGGGGGAGGGGCTGGAGGAGCCTTTATTTTCACAATACCTTGTAGATCCTGGCGAGTAGTAAAGCTCTCTGATGAGGGAAGAAGAGGCCTTTCCTTCATTGGAGCTCTTCTTGCAACACAAATCAAGCAAGACTGCAAATCTTAAACAAAAATGTTACTTCAGTAATTTGTATAGAAAAGCAAGAATTCTTTTTTTTCTTCTTCTGCAAATAGAATTCAAAAGTGCAAGTCCTTTGATTCCGTTTGGACCAAATGGAACAGCTTATTCTACCAATAAAAGGAAAGGACAGATAGAAGTGAATGGTTTCAGATCTTCACTATTTCTTACAGCATTGAACATCAGAGGAGAGGTCATTTTGCTTACTTTTTTGGAAGAAAACTTACGCAAGTACTCCACCATGGCCCATAATTATGGATATATGTAGATATAAACATCTGCTTTCACATGTTTATGCAAAAAGCTGCAGCTCAACAGCTCAAAAAATAAGTAATCAAAAACAACATACTGCATGCATGGAGTTCTTCAACACTTACGGTTTTGTACTTTCTAAACCACATCGCTTAAATATGCCCCAAATAGTTACTTTCCCTGAGAAAGCAGCTTCATAGTAAGTTAAGCACTTATCTGAGTGCTTAGAATACAATCTGAGGGTGTTTACCTGCTGAAGTAGTAAATGGTAAAGGAAACGGTGAACCACAATTATCTTCACATTCTGAGAACTCAAAAAAATGCCAATTGAAACTTTCCTCCCAGTCAGCTACATTCTTCTTATAATTACAGTGGTACAAAACCAGGGTATCTCGCTAATGTACCTGGAGTTAACCTCAACTTAAACTATTGTAACTGAACCAATTGGGTGCGTGCTGGTTGTATACGCTCATATTCCAAGATGAAAGAAAACCACAGTTACATGAAAAAATTTGTCTATTTTTCCAAGATTCAGAAGCCACTTTATCAACTTTGCATCACTATCAACTCCACTGAAATTGCTGCCCTGTAACTACTGCAGAAAGCATGGAAAGAGAAAGTAGCAACATAAATTCAAAGCTTATTAATTACCTTCACCATCCTCCTTGAAGGAATTCGGTTGAGAAACAGCAAAGCACTGCATAGTTTCATATTTCTGATGTGCTTCCTGGTTATCATGGCCTTCTTCAGAATCAGCAAGAGGTTTTACCAGCATCCGACAATTAAAGGTATGGCTATTACGCCTAGGAGTGTCACCAGACCAAGGTCCCCCATTCACTGAGCAAAGCAAAGAGTACAGAGTGAGATAAATCTGGTTGCTGTCATTTCTCCTGCTTATCCACAGGAAATTAATCATGGTGTTTTGCAAACTGGTTGAGAAACAAGCTCATTGAACAACACCACCGTATTTTTAATATTACAGCCCAAACCAGCACATAACAAGGCAATTTGTAAAGTTCTTATCATTTAAAAGCTCCACCGTCTAATTTGTTCAGCTACCATGTCCTTTCAAGCAACTTATAATGCCAGTGATAGAAAAGCAGAATGAAAGTCTAAATATTGGTGCATGTAAAAGTGATAGACTACCGTGAAATCCCTACTGGGTAGATCAGATTAACTTATGTGCCTGGAAGAAAAAAGGCAGCACGTAGGATCTGTCCACTGCATTTAGAAGTGATTAACCCAACAGAGACAGTAAGACTATATATAAATTCATGTCCAGATTAGAAACAGAAAGAAAAGGAAGTAATATGCACTGTATAGAAACAGGAAGCAAAGCAATCAGGAATAAATTATAACATATACTCAGCTACAACAGGGAAGTTGGGAAGGGATGAGAATGACCTGGGTGCAGTGGTAGATAAAACTAAAACCCTAACACAGTACTTAAGGCAAGTAAAAAAGGAAACAAAATCCTGGGATGCACAAATATAGGTACTGGACATCAGTCAGAGCAAATTAATGTAACAGCACGCAAGGAAATAGCAGGTTATTATTTAAAAATACTCTTCACTGTCCTCCTCAATCATAAAAGGCAACAAAGGTAGTAATTTACGGGTTTTAGCCACTGAAAGGGTTGCATTTTTTTAAATTCTTGAAGGGTTTATATGTAAAGTCACAAAATTGACATGAATTACATAATATTTTTAAATTGGTGCAAGTAAATGAGAAGTGTCCTATATTCACTTTCTCTCTCTTTTTAGCCCCGCTCCCAAAAAGTTACGACACTAAAACCAGTATCAGTATGAATGTAAAAAGAGTTGCAGGTAACAAAAACCAGTTTTTAAAAGAGAAGGGTAAATACTGATGAGAATGAAAACAAAAACTAAAATTTTTAGCATAAGGAGTTATCCAATTTTTCATAAAATACCCCCCGCTTCTTGAGCCCTTTTTTAGAATAACCAGCCTAGATAGAGACCTAACAGCGAATTCACATAGCTCATGCTGTCTTGCAAAGGATTCACTCTAAAGAACCATTAAAAATATCAGTTAATACGAGCGACTATCAGTAATTTTAAACAAAGAAGCTAAATTGGAAGAGTGGAAGATGGTTTTGGGAAAAAAAAAAAAGATCATTCATACAGCTTACAGATACATTAATAATAAACAGAGTGAATATGATGAAAACATAATTAGCGGACAGGCATAAACTCAAGTTATTTAAACACTGATTTATGAAACCAACGTTAAATAAGTAGGATATGAGGAAAATGTATATACCTAAAGATTTTGGCAGCAGGATTTTGACAAATTCATTGTGGTCCCCTACATGCAGGATGCTATATATGCTTGTGTTCATCAGCTCTTCTTGGTTGTACCTTAGGTACTGTGTCACATTCTCAGAAACAAACATAACATTACCTTCCAGGTTCACTACAAAGAAGAAGCCATCTAGGGCCTGAGGGGGGAAAAAAACAGATAGAGAAAAAAAAGAGAGAGAGAGAGAAACACAACACCAAACAACCAGATTAACAAAAAGATATCCAGAAAATAAATACTTCCTTCAGAAGATATATTTGAATCTTTCTGCATCCATCCCAGTTCTTACAGTCTTGTCTTTAACAGCAAAGTAAACATTTCATATTGAGGCTCTAAAATTACTTACATCAAATCACTTTAAAATCACGGAAAGACGTACATCTTGCAAAATAATGAAATCCACATATGCAACAAAACAAGAAGAAGAGATTTGCTCCCTATCTGCCTGGAAACATTACACTAGGAAACCTATGCTAGAACCTAGTTCTGTTAAACCTAGAGCCTGTTCACTCCTGTATTTATTTATCCTGAAGTCTAGGGGAAAAAAAAAAATCACAAGATTTGCTGACATAGGCAAAAAAACACTGGAAGAAAGAAAGAGGAATGCTTTCTCTCCACACCCCCACTACGGGTCTTCATCAAAGCGGGGCCCGCGCAGCCAGGAACGCAAGAACCAGGGCGTTAAATGGTGAGAAGGGTAAAAGGAACCTGATGCTGGCAAACAGGTCAGAGCACACAGCGAGCAGGAGGACAGCGAGGTGCATCCCTACTCCCAGGACTATTTTTGTTTTTTACTTGACACCAGTTTAATTCAGTCCATACACGGTCCAGGGAACGGGAACAAGAACTTCCATCTTCTACCTTTACAACTTAGGTCCTTGGTATTCCAAAGCACATACAATTTCTGCAAGGTACTATCTAATTCAGATAATTCTTAAATTATGCCGATTCGTTTCTCCCCTTGTCACTTGTGACAGGGACAGCCTAACTAAAAGATTCTTTCAAAGATATTTGCTGTGCGTTATCTGAAACCTAAGCCAAATATTACATCACTTCTACCTGTTCAGGATAAAATAAAAATTTCAGTATCAGTAAGAGGTTCTCATATATAATACTTTTTTTTCTTACGATGCAAACATGATTGTGCATTTCAGAAATACTTGAGCATCTGACTCTTTATGTTATGTGAGCAGATAAGAGACATATATTTAAACTTAAGCCACCACAGCTTTGAATTTAAGCATTTAAATAAAAATGCAACCCATACAGGCTTCTGCAGCTTTGCCCAGCTTATTCACCTCTTTAAAGGTTGGTGGGAAATCACTAAACCAGCGGCTAGCTCACATTTCAATTTCAAACCAGAACGTGCGACATTGCATCTCTGGTCAGAAACAAATCAGAACAAGAACATGTGGTAACCCATGATTTGTCAGGAATAAAAGCCAGCGGATCCATACTAAACCTGAACGCAGCTCACTTCAGAGCAGTCTAACAAGGGGGAGTTGACACGGCAAATTACACAGGCACGTGGAATTTTTTGGCATGAACAAACTTGCGCACTACACAACTTACGATGGTCCTAACAGGCATTGCTCGAATGCTCAGGCTACAGGTATGTATCCAAAAATGATGCACACTACTCTGAGCAGTTAGCAGAACCAGAAAGCACAAAAGAGAAGGCTGAGGGAGGGATCTTATTTATTTCTGTCTACACCCACTAATGGAAGGACACAGAGAAGCCAGAGCCAGGCTCTGTTCAGAGGTTCACAGGGCAAGGACGAGAGGCAACAGACACAAGTTGCAACACAGGAAATTCCAAGTAGTTGTAAGAAAAAAAAAATTTTTTTTTTCACCATGAAGGTGGTCAAATATGGGAAGAGGTTGCAAAACCTTCATCCTTGGAGATATTCAAAACCCAGCTGGATAAGGCCCTTGTGCATATTTAAGTAGATATGCATAAGTATATGTTTTCCCTGACTGCCTCTAAATTAAGATAACCTAGGTCCTCTTTCTCCTGTTCACTGTTACAGTTTCTAATCATCTCTGACTTTGTTTTTTTCATTGCCTTCTCTTTGTTTCTGGCCATTCTTGGTTCTTCCTATGAATTCATTTTCCTTAGAGAGCTTCCCTCTTTCAGTGTGCTTTTCACAACATTTTTCTGCTTGCTAGTATTTAAACTAATAGTGATTTACAAGGTTTAATTAATTGAGGCTCTAATACTATCTCCCATCAGCATCTCTGCTATGGATTAGTGTCTTAGACTGCATTTCACCACTGCTTGAAGCCAATCTAAATGTGATCTCTTTGGGTTAGCCCTCTCCTACACTGCGACAGTTCCCTGTACTAACAGTAGCATGTCTGCAGATACAAAGGGCTGGACTAGGGAACTGAAAACTAAGAAAAAAATAAGATTTTAGCTACATTAGTTCTCTGAACTGGCCCACCACGAAGTGACGTGGCTTTTAGAGCTGCTACAAAGGTACACGTTTGGCTAAGCCATTCTATCTGGTAGCAGTCCAAGCCTACATCAGTTCGAAGAAAAGCCATAGCAAATGTTTATCCGAGTCCGAAGAAGAAAATTTTCAAAGGCAGAGACGGAAAGCAAAAAATTATTGGAGTTACTGGCATTCCACAATCATTTTGCTGCAGTTTTCCCTGCTGCAGCAACTTCTTTGGCAAGTAAGTGCTCTATGCCGTCCTCTCACAACTATTTCCTGAGCTGACCACAGCAGTGGCCATCTAAGCCCACACTGTGGCTGGAAGAGGAACATGCCTTATATGTCATATTCCCGTTTCTTTCCAGTCAAAACACAAAAATCAGAATAAATCAATCTTTTAGGAAAGCAGCAGGCTTTCAAGCAAGTTTATGCACCAAGCCACTTAAATCTTTTAGAAGCTTCCACTTTTGCACTAATTTCTTAATTCCGTTCCCAGATGTATACCACTATAATTAACAACGAGAACAATAATGAATGCCAGCACACCTTTCTTCAGAGCTACGGGTACAACAGGGGAACGAATATTAGACAACATGCAGGGAGAGAAAACAAGACAGCAGATAACACTGATGATGTGTTGGAGCAGAAAATAAAGTTGTATTCTTTGAGCTGTTTCAGCTCTATTTTCTCACTCTCTTCATATCTACTTTTCTGCCTTAACCAAGAAACACGTTAAAATATTCCTCAGAGGCAGCTATAGGATGAATTCTACTCACTTTCTTCAACCAGAAACACCCACTAGCCTGAGGATTCTTCAGTTGCAGTCTTTAACAGAAAATTATATTCCTAAACCAAATCAACTAGTAAACTGTTAAACTGTTCATCACCTTTGCCATTTTTATTATCATTTGGCAAAGGAAAAAGAGTAAGTTTTTGAAGAGGGTGTGTAAAGGCGTTTGTAAAGATGAAGTAACTTAATTTTCTTAAGGAGATAAAGACACAGAGAAAGTATCTGTAGTCTTCCCACAGCAAATATCTAGCAACTTTCAGTCCTTTTCAGTTTCTTGTGGCAAACAGATCACAGTTTATTAATTTCGCCCCACATTTTTTCATTGTTAATAACGAAATGATTTTAGTGTAAAGGAAAAATAAATTAAATGGAATAATCTAACAGAAGGGTGATTTTACATGTCATGTTTGGTACGATACCTAATCATGTAAGATAAGCTATGAAAAAAAACTTATTTTCCGCATGATTAAAACAGATCCTTACAGTTAAATTAATAGGAACTTGAAGATAAATTTTAACGTAGCAATGTAAGAGATGGAAGGTTTAACCTTGTTTGATAGCAAATACAACATTCAATTCAGTGAGCATGTATAATAAATATTAAATTGAACCCATTCGTTTTTTACCCCAGCTTTTCAAAGGAGAACGTTTCCACTCCAACCTGTTTAATCTTCCTAATATGGTTTTGGAAGCCTTTATTTCATATGTAGTACAGAAAAGTATGTTTTCTTCTAACAAATCATGAAAAATAATGCAAATACTTAAAACTGATGTCGCATGTGCCTTACTCATGCAACATTCAGAAATGACAGAATAATTAAACATCTGCCAAAGTTGGTTCCTTTAGCTAGATTCAGAGTTTTATGTTTTATTTTATCTAAACTAATATTTATTCTTCCTTCCAGATAAAGCCGACAGTCAGAACGAGAATCAGCAGTTTGCAAGCGAGCTTAAGCAGATGAAGCAGTAGTGCCAAAGGATAGTAGCACATGACATTACGATCCCAGATAACATACTGACACAACATCATTATTAATACATTTAGAAGCTAGGCTTTAACCATGCAACCTCGTCTCATATCAAAACAGCAGCGCTAAAAGTCTGGCAGAAATCTTCGCTAAACTAACTGAAATACCTATCTTGTAAGGCTCTCCCAGATCACTTTCATACTCTAGAGAGAAAAGAGTCATGCTGTAAATGCTGAAACGGTAAATCGTTAAAACTGCATAGCAATGACATGCAATTTCAGAGGAAGTATTATTCATGTGTACACTACTGTATCTGTAAGTCAATGTTTAAGTACAACAGGTCTTCCAATCCGTCACGGTTTAGAATGAATACAAGATGCACGCACAGACACCCCGAACTATAGGAGACTGCTACCAAGTGAAGCACTTAAGCTGTCTGCAAAATAAAGCAGTCAAATTCTCTCTCCCTCCCACCCCCAAGTTAGGGAGCGTTTCCTCACTGAACCCAACGGAAACATGCTACCTGCTCATAAATGCCATAATGCTAAACAGCCACGATGGCTTCTCTCTCTTGCCCGTTCTTTTAGAGCACGCTCCAACTGCCCTCCTTCATTTCATTACACTGTTCACCATCTAGGGGGAGCAGAATTGGCTTAAATAAAAAGGAAATTTATGTTCTTCACCTCAAGCATCATTGGTCCAAGCGCGTCCTTGTCAATGACACTCTGACCTGTGGATGATACATCTGCTTTTTGCACTTCATCTTCATTAGTTGCTGCTGCTTTTTCTGCAAGAAAGAGAACTATGCATTATGACAAAGCGGTGCCAGTTAAATGATACAGTAAGAGTCCACAGTGTATAGTGACTAGCTGTTAAGCAGTGACAGTGCAACAGTACTGAAAATGAGATTAAATAATCTTCCATAATTATTCAACAAAAGCATAGCCAGTATATTTGCTTTTCAGTTCTGCAGTTTCATGACACAGATTAAATCATTTCAGCTGTTTCTCTGCTAGATATTTTACTAGATCAGAGGACACGATACCTAGCAAAAGACAAGGACTCCTTATGAAGGTGCAGTGAGTAACAGTCAGGATCAAGGTGTTTTAAAAGACAGATCTAAAACAGTAAGCAAAGCTCATGGCTGCACAACTTTTCCATGATTGCTATATTTAGAAGGAAAAATGCAAGTCTGCAATCTACTGTTTCATTACTGTGAAACAGCAGGCTCATTTCTGTTCCCATGCCTCCACCCACATTTTTACTATCACATAATCTTCATGCTGTCCTATTTACCAGTGTTACTAAAATACACACAATTTCAAGTGCTTTAATTGAAAAATTGCAAGGAGGAAAACAATGATTTAAGGCTTCTGGAGTATAACACCACAATATGTGACATACCGTATCACAAATCACACTTAACTCCAAATGTAAGCAATATTCATACATACCAGAACATTCAAACCAAGAGGGTTTATAAGTCATATCAAGTAATGAACTGTATTCATTTTTCTATTCCAAGAACAATATCAGTGTTTAAGGGACAAGTAATTAAAATACTATACAAAATACATTCTTTCATTTTAAGTTAATAAAATACAAGAGTAATTTTTTGTTGTTAGTTCTGTTCTCAAAACAACATTCTTTTATTATTTTTCAAGTACTTATGTAAAAGGGCTATACTGCAATCCAGAACTTTAAAAATCATTAAAGCTTTTATTTTAAATATTATGCAATAAGTTATGTGAATAAACAGAAAAGCACACTGAACTTATGATACTCAACAAGAACTTATGCCTTCTACAACAGTAAACCAAAAGACCACTCATTGTGGGAATTACTGAATGTATCAAGATGGACCCAACGGCCTTTGCACAATCCCCTTTAGTGAAAACTAAAGCATCGGTCAGATAAATTACAATGTATCCAAGTGGACAGTAGTCTCCACTATCTGTAGACATGCAAGATTGCAGCCAAAGTTCCTCTGAACTCTTTGCTGGGCAGAGGTTATGAGGTCAGTGCACAGAGACAGTGCTTAGGCATCAAGTAAAGGAACCGTTTCCCAGAAACCTTGGATGTCCTCATATCAGTATCACCTGCTGGCAATAAAGCTTTGGTCACTTCGACCGCCTCACTCTAGACTTCTGTGGTTTCACGCTTTCATGAAAAAAGTGTTAGGAAAATCCTGTCTAGCTTCTTGTGGTACATTCATACACAGTGTGACACCACTGTGAGTAATGATGAAATAAAACTGTTCTGAAGATGTTATTCAGACTAATAGAATAATTTAAAATCACTTAAGATTAGAATAATCTGCTTGAAATAAATACACCAGAGAAAAATATAAACTCTTCCTCCGGCACTTAAACTCACCAGTATACTATTAAATAATTCTGGCTTGAGCTGGGGACTGCAGAAGGCCTTTTTTGTGAAAGGTAGAGATTAGGTGGGGGAGGAAAAAAAAGATCAAGCAGTCCTTCACATGCTACAGCATAGAAGAGCTGATGCCACACGATGATACGATACTGAAAACATATTCTAAAAATTCTAAAAGAATTCTAAAAGATCCTAAAAATAGCATTGAGCTTTTAATAAAGTCTGCAATGCTATTCGTTTCCCATCTGTTCCTAATATCATAAAGCGATCCCTGCTTTCACACTGCAAAATATTACAATAGAAGAGCTTACATCTTTTTGGATACTATCTTCCTGCTTTCATATCATCGCTGCTTTAGCCATTTATACCATCTTGAATACCAGAGGATATGGGATTATACTCCATGCACTAGAAAGGAGGGACTGCAGATACTGTACAGCCATGGTTCGATGTTCTACACTGTGTGCAAACACATTCAATAGATGGGTATTTTCCCGGTTTAATGGATTTACAAAGAAAACTTTTACCAATTGTTTTTCACATAGTACTAAACACTTTTTGAAGATTTTTTTTTTGACTGTTACAACTAGAAAGTTCAGCCAAATCATCATTAACATATACATATAAACACTACTCAACAAGAAGAAAAGTTTTATGCAAAGAAAAAGAAGGAAATTTTTAATGACTATACTGGTAATTAACATGGAAACTGCAATACCATGTCAGACCAAAGATCTGTCAAGCCTTATATCCAGTCTCTGAAAGTGGCTGCTTTCCCTGCCGCTTCCCTGTTTCTCCATTTTGATCCTTTGATCCCTAACCACCTCCCTTTATGCCACTAGCTTTCCATCACAACCATTTGACATCTCTGTTTCCTTTTCCCTTAACCACCTCCTTCTAGGGCTCAACCCTAAAGGACCAACAAAAACATTGCTTGCTTAAGAAAAAGGTACAACAAACAGAGAAAATACGAAAATTATACATGGATAAACATTGCCTACCTATCTCTGTCACTGATGAAGACAACATACACTACACTATGCATGACACTTGTTTAGCCATTCTAAAAAGCGTTATAAATCACAAGTGCTCCCAAATCGTGGACTTCGTAATTGGATCTGTAAAATAACTGTGTAAGAAGGTAAGTGGTCAGAGAGCTTAAAACTGGCTACACAGTCAGGTCACAGTTCCCTGTGCATCCATTTAAGCAGCATTGTATAGGAAGCCACGGCCTCAGACAGCCTCACAAAAGTAGGACCAGAAGCTGCTCATGGTCATGTCATGAGCTGCAGCCACCAATAACGTTCAATTATGCAGCAAGTTATCCGTTTTTGACTGAGCTACAAAGCCCACCTTGAAGAGTCGGAAAAGCAAGAGCAAGCACTGTCAGCAGTGTTGGGCCTAACAGAGAGGCACAGGGAAGGTCTCGAAATGCAAATCTTTTCTTCAGCAATACAGTCATGGGGCTAACTGAGAACAACAATTTGTTGTAGAAAGGTTGGGAGGAAAAAACAAAACAAAACTGTTGCATGAGTTCTAGTGATGACAACACTCACAGTTATATCACAAGTCTTTTGTGTTTTTCTTACAGTTCCAGCTTCTGGAGTTGAGTAATGTTGTGAAAATGTCAAGTTGACTTTTCCTTTTTTTCCTACCCCTATCTTTTTTAAGTTCACTAGGGGTCCTACACACACATGAAAAGAACAGAGAGTTTATTATTTCTAAACTAGATTAATGATTTTTGAATGTTAGGGGTTAAGAAAATAGCTGCAGAAGCCCAACCTTGCAAATCCTCTCATAAGTCTTTTTTTTTTTTTCCTTCCAGTTTCATGGGAATTGATGGTATTACACTGTGACTAACCACAGTCGTGTTTTTTTTCCACTGGAGCCACATAACGTGGAGAGCAGGAGCTGGCTGCCTGATCTTGCACCGTCCGGCCGTGCTGTCTCCTAGAACAACTATGACACTGTTCAAACGGGAAACATGGGGAAAATGTTACAAGGCAGCTTGCAAGCAAGGAAGAAAAAACAGAACAGAGACTTAGTACGGAAAGAAATACAGCCTTATGGTAGTTCAGGAAGTGACAGGAGGAGAAAGGAGCTTCCCATCGCTTCACCTCTGTGAAAGGGTTTCTCTGCTGGAGGTTAAGCTTCGCCGTCTACCCTGAGTGTTTCAACAGCGAGGGAGCATAAATTAGAACCTGGGCCTATCCTTACGAACGTGGCTACCAGGGATCAAGTGCATTTTATCTAAATTAAAGTGGAATAAACTTCAATGCACATGAAATAATTGTTAGGTCTGCTCAACCAAGAGTTTCGCCTAGAGCTAAATAAATAAATAAATAAATAAATAAAATAGGAGTACTCCTAAGAGAGGTACAAAGAACACGTGCATCCAAACATGTAGCATTTGACTGATGTGTGTAATTTACGTTTTCAGCTGTGGATACGTTTACACTTGTATAAACGGCAATACTCTAACATACATAGTAATATTTTCAATTGGGCACTTTCCTAGTGACCGTAAACTCTATCTACTTTCCTATATTGATATATAGAAGTCCGGCAAAAACCCACAGACGTTTTCTGGCAAATTCATCAGTGGGAAA